AGGACACTAAGGACAGGCTAGTGATGTGCTGAAGTCGTAGTTACTCCTCAGCTGGAACATAAACGCAGCTGGTTTGCATCGTCGATCGTTTTCATTTCCTTGGCTGGATGACAACCCGTCATACAACAGTACAATGCTGTCTACGTAACAGGAGGCACGTATCTTCTTCGAGTTCTTAAAATTAATACAACTACCAATAAAATATCAAGATCATCATTATTTTGTGCTTCTAAGTTCTAACCGTCGAGTAGTGAAATACCGGTATTCTACTACTCCCCCTGCTTCACTCACTGTGCGATCTCATACAACAGCGCACGCACTACCATTACCAATGCCAACACTAAAACTTGGAGAGGAACACTTTTTGAGAAGAGGACCATTACTCGGCATTACTCATCGCATGCCTGTATACGACTCGTAGTAAGTCAGGCATCGGATCCTAGGCATGCATGCATGGTCTGCTAAGCTACCAATCACCATGATCATCATGTCCACTGCTAGCTGCCAGTGCTGAGTGAACAACTTCAACGTGCCATGATCACAGCCCCTAGGCACAACTCACACTGCACACAGCCTCAGGTGCAGAGGAAGCGGATACTCTAGTTCCAGATTGTCCAAGCTAAAGACTATAATTATCATGACTGGAAGATGTTTGCTTCGTCTCCACGACTCAAACTCATCAGAGGAAAAACACGGCCCGGGTACATGACAGTCTCTACTATCCGCAAGCGCTACGGGCAGTGCATTATTTAATATTAATTTTCTGGTTTGAGTGACATACACTGTGGTCGCACCGTCAGGACAATCCCTTCAGGAGAAACAGCCTACGATCTACAACGACCCGAGGCTGCAATTCACTCCAATGTACTTCACGATAATATCGTCGGTGAAATGCACACTCTTCCTGGCATTGACCTGGGGCTGGCACTAACTTATCGCATTAATTGGTGTGAAGAAGGTTTCGGACACCGTCAGAGGCAAGCGTGAATACACGGCTTGAGAGCTGCGCCTTTGGGTACTAGCCAATGCTTTCCGGCTAGGTTCTACTTGCGCTGTTGACGAGATACAGACCAGCCAATGTAAACAGTTACTCAACACAAGGTGCTGGAATTCGCCTCTGCTAAATTCGCCGCATGCTTTCTACATACATGTACATTTTGTCATCTGTCGGTATATCTAAAATAGGAGGCCTATGATTGTTGTCATTGCTCAGAGCTACATACGGTGGACTCTTTGCAGAAGTGAGATCATTTCGCTGGAATGTGAATTTGCAAGTACAAAATATCTTCTTGATCACACACTTTCGGAACCCCTTTCCGACTTCAGACTAGAGAAGGACTGTGCATGTACCGGACAACACAGCACACCACCCGCAACGTGTAGCATACACCACAACAGACCACAATAGACATGGTTGGCATTTTACCGCTCACGCTAAATCCAACGGTACTCGTACCCGGCACCCAAAATACCGTCGGCTTCGTATCGTTTCGACGATAGCAAGCTCTGTTTTAATACATGTACCGGGAGAACGAAACGGTAAGATTCTAACTAGGGTGACGTCACGAGCCGATCGTTGTGTCAGAAACCGAAATGCTAACCAAGGAGTCGTATACCCATTATACGACTCCCTGATGCTAACCATGTCTTGAAAACACACGAAGAACGGTACAGACCGACGGTCGAAGTACATGTACATGTAAGCGTGAACCGTAAAAATCATACTAAAATGCTAACCATTTCGAATGTATCTTGCTACATGTACATGTACATGTACAAGTATGACGTTATAGCAAGCTGTGTCAAGTTTTTGGCTGGTTTGCTTGTTGGTGGTGTTGGTGTTGTTTGAATTTTCGAATTCTTTATTCTCACGATGGCACCATCGCCAATAAGAGATATGTTGTTGTAGGTAGATACTTTAAAAGATAGTTACGTTTTTATTTGAATTCGCAGAACCAAACGGGAGGTGTCGCCCAATTACATGGAAGCGAATGGAAACAATAAATTATTGTAGAAAATAGCCTAACATTACAGCAGGGTGTAGTACAAAGCGAAGAACGCTCAGTCAATGAATAACGTTAACGTTAGAATACAACACCGGGGAGGCGGTAAAAACAGCACCCGACTGGTACTGTGGAGTACCGCAAACGTTCAAAGGTACCTGTAGTGTTCAGTAGTGGGTGCTACTGCTAGCAAGACAGAACGGGAGGCAGGCTTGTTTGAACTGGTGGCACTGGGTAATACCACGCACGTCGGATGGCAGGGTGTTCCAGAAAATGGACCCGCTAGCGGGTGGACGGTCGTGGCCGGCTTTGGAGGCAGATTTGGGCACTCGCAGGCCCAAGCCCAAGCGCGCGCGTTGTGCGAGCGCTGGGTTGTTGTTGTTGTTGTTGTTGTTGTTGTTGTTGTTGTTGTTGTTGTTGTTGTTGTTGTTGTTGTTGTTGTTGTCGTTGTTTATTTATTTTACATCGCATGTCATATATGTAGGTATGCCCCATAGCGTCACGTACACGCATAACGTATAGGCTGGATGTATACATGTGCCGGTACAGTCGTCAACTTTAGTCCTTGGCGGATTCCTCCGGCCACTTTCAATGGGGTAGCCATAGAGGAAGCGGAGGTGCTGAAGTTGCTTGGAGTGCTCTTCGATCGGAGCCTCTCCTTCCGCTCCCACATTCGACAAGTTGCAGTCCGTGGTCACCAACGGCTTGGCTTCTTGAGGAAGGCTCCGCCAATCCTCGACAACAAAGCCAAGTATGCCGTGTGTACATGTACTATAAAAGACCAGGTACATCACCGAGCCATAAAGCTCATCGGCCCGGGGTCGCATCACCCAAGCCTCACTGTTCAGCGTTAAATCGCAGCACTCACATGCCTGTCCAAGCTGCACTGGATTGATGGTCCCCCAATCTGACCACCATGACACCACCGAGGATAGTTGCTGACCAGCACCGGCGCTCCGCTTGCCACCAGCAAGAGGAGCAGCACCAGCACCAACTAGCACCGACACTGCCCGCCAGAGCCCGTAATAGTTATAGTGCTCTCCGATCGTTCCCCCACGCTACGATCCAAGACGGGAATCGTCTCCCATCTGACCTGCTACGCAGCCTTCCCACGCAAGAATGCAGGCATTCAAGGAAGGCGCCTACAAGTCTCTCTGCAGTCGAGACTGGTAGACTCTCTCTACTCAGCCACAGATGCCCTCTGAACCCTCCGTGAACTCCCTCTCCGCTTGCACCCTGGCTGAGTGAGGCTGGCTCCCCCCCCCCCTTTTTACTCTATCACACTTCACAGGTATGATCTTTCCATTTTCTACCCTCTATCATGCAGTATTCTGTTCTCGAGGTTGCTTCGTGGTTTCTCGTAAAACAAAAAAAGGAAAAGTGGGGAGGCTTCCTGCAGTTTCATAAACAGTTAATAGTTCAACTCATTTCACAATAATTATTCCAACGTTTCGGCAAATTGCAAAAAAAACAACAAAAAATGTATTCACGTAATCAAGTAGGGTGCTCCGTTTTAGAGCGATCAGTTGCCTGATGATCGTGCCTATGTGAAACTCGGAGTTGCAACGCAGCTTCGGAAATCCCCTCCTCCCCTCTCTCTCTCTCTTGTGTCAATGACAATGACAAAATATGCCTTCAGTACTACATTGTAGCCTTTTACATAACACCGTACAGCATGGGTATTTATGGCAGCTTGTCACGTGAATATATGGCCATAGCCTGCCTATGTGCAGCAATATCCATAATAATTATGCGAATACATGTACCATGAATACGCAGGAAGATCTCCATGACACACTCACGGCTGCTGGCGATGGTATCCTACACTACAATTGTAGACCGAAGGCTATTAGCAAGAGTACATAACGGGGGTTATGTACTCTTGCAAGGGTCCGTACAGCGTGTCCACCATACTACAGATAGGCTACAGATTTTCTATTCACACCTACACAATGCGCAACTCCCACCCGCCAACCTCGCCATAAAAGCTGAAGATTAAACAAGCAAGCAACAAAACCCAAAAATGCTAGCCCAACAAACTGCCCACTGGGCCAGCTGCTGCTATACAGCAAGGCCAGGGTGGAGGTAGACCAGTTACACAATCCAGTATTCCATATTCCACTCAGACAGGTGATACTAGAAGTGTGGCTAGTCGCTACTAAAGAATCAGAGTACATAGGAAAGCAGAGTGCACAAGCAACGTCAGCAGCAGCAGCAACGACAAGAACCGTAATAAGTCGCTGCGGTCAGCTGGGAAGCAATCAGCTACTTCGAGTACTAGAATTAGTAAGTACCAGTCTATACTAAAAATTAATGTTTCTTGTGTGGTGCTACTATGACCATAAGTATATAACACTACGGAAATTTAAAATAACACCAACATTGCAACATCTTAAAAAATAGTTCTTGGCCACACACACACCTTTGACGCCCATCGCCGGAGGCAATGATAGCAATGCAACGGCAGAAGCCATAGCAACTTGTGCTGGGATTGCACCATTCAACAGCTTGCAAGGCTGAAGAATTGACCGTCACTATTCAGCCTGGTCTATACCATACAGCTATTTGAAGTGACTTTTTCTGGCCAGTGAATCCCTATTTTTGGTCTTTTCATGTTTTTCCCGCACACACATCACACCACATACTCCGGCATGCACTGGCTGTTGGTAACCACCCAGGAGAATGAAAGAAAAGTCAGGAAGAGTCTGAGAAAGAGAAGAAAGACGTGTGTGACCATAATCGTCGGGAATCGAACCCGCAACCTATCGATCACACACACACACACACACACACACACACACACACACACACACACACACACACACACACACACACACACACACACACACACACACACGCGCACACGCATGCATATGTAGTGTCTGCCAGCCTGCTCGTGTCCGAGGCACTTTGGCAGCAGTCCCGGGTACTGCTGACCAATGCAAGTACATGCACACGTACATGCATCCAGTGGTCCACTGCTCCAAAACAAAGCCATAAAGTGCACGTACTTCGAAGTACGCCAGTGAGTGACGCAATATTGCGCAATCCACCACAACAGGTTCATGCATGGTTATAGCGAGTACGGGAAACACACATACTACTATGTCCTGCACTGCGAGGCTACACAGTGACATTGGTACAGGCAGTAGATGTTAGGTGCTAAACGCAGCCCGCAGTCAATGCAGCATGGCTGTAGTAAGTCAAGTCACGCGGGCTGAGGCTAACCTAAGCTGCACATGCCTTGCAACACATGCAAACAGACATGACACTAACGTTAGCTCTACTCCAAACAGCAGTATGTTGAACGACTATAAATAAAAAAGCACAAGAACAACAACAAGAACAACAACAACAACAACAACAACAACAACAACAACAACAACAACAACAACAACAACAACAACAACAACAACAACATGATTGTGTGCACGAAAAGCAGGACAGGTTCTAACCTACACATACATGATGTTGATAGCAGGAAAATTTTCCAGTTAAGTTGTTATCCAGCGGGCAGTTATAAACTTACAATACATCAACAATAGTAGCGCAATCTCCAGAGTCAACTAGTAACTAAAATCAGCGGTGGTTAGCGGTGGTTAGCGGTGCTCGTGGGGAAAATAAACTTGAATAAATATAGCAGTGTGATGCATCCCTCTGGCCTGCCAGTTTGGGAAGGTAGCAGCAAGTGTGTGTGCGTGCGTGCGTGTGTGTGTGTATGTGTGCGCACATGTGTGTGTGTGTGTGTGTGTGTGTGTGTGTGTGTGTGTGTCTGCGTGTGTGTGCACACCAACAAACATGCATATGTCGAGTAAAGTTGCACGCATCACAGTAGATGGGACAGCAGTACTGGGCCGGGAGCCAGTGATCGAAACAGCAGCAGCAGCAGCAGCAGTACATCTGATCAACGCCTGACAGTGTCCTGCAAAGATCACTGACAGGATCAGCATAGCTATTAGCTACGCTGGTCAGGCTGGAACACTGATTGGGCATACAACAAACAACTCAGCTGACCATCCACCAGCTTGTCAAGTCATAGCAGATCACACAAATACCCTAGACGCACTTCACAGAGCAACGGAGGGCGGGTAGAGAAGGACAGATCTCAAAAGGGAAACACACCTCACGGCTCTTACCGAATGAACACGGTCAGCCCAGAGCCACCGTTGACCTATGCAAGAAGAGCCACCGTTGATCTATGCAAGAAGAGCCACCGTTGATCTATGCAAGAAGAGCCTGCGACTCGACTAGCTTGCGGAAGTGCCCTCCGTCCGTTGCCATCAGTTCGTTGTAACTGCCCTGCTCTGCTACAGTGCCTTGGCGCAGCACCACGATGCGATCGGCGTTGCGAATGGTGGACAGTCGGTGTGCTATGGTCAGAACGGTGCGCTCAGCCATGAGAGACTCCAGTGCTGTCTGCACCTGCTTCTCACTACGTGCATCCAGTGCACTGAACGGGAGAAAAAGAGAGATAAACACACACACACAGACACACACACACACATACACAAACACACACACAAACACACACACAAACACACACACAAACACACACACACACATACACACAAACACATGCAACAGGTGTAAGTGCCCAGAGAACTCTAACTCTCGAGGAACAGAACTAGCATGAACAGAGTCACCACGTCAAAGATTAAAAAAAGAACATAGAGTCCAAGAATGTCCACTGCCCCTGGATGCCATGACAACTTGGAATGACTGTGCTGTGTGTTGAATAGGTAATGGTCACGATTAGATGGTACCACTCCTGTCATGAGAATACTGGCATTGTTGACACCAATACACAAGAAAATAAAGAAAATAAACGTTACCGTCGGTGGTGAGGACATACTGAACTGTAAATCTCACCTTGTTGCTTCGTCCAGAATGAGAATCTGAGGATCCTACAGGGTACAAACATTGAAGGAAAGTGCACAGAGCAGTGAGCAATGAACTCCTTTCCCTTGTGCATCACTACAGAGAGCAATGAGCATCTTTCCCTCATACATTACTAAAGAGAGCAATGAGCTCTTTTCCCTCATACATCACTGCAAAGATGTTGACCCAATGAACATTGTTGAACTGCAGAGATAGTGAAACAATGAGCACTGCTACAACTGCAGAGATAATGAACGAATGAACACTGCTCTAACCGATTGTACCTGCCAGTACTGCTGTCGTGGACATGGAAATCCTATCGAATGACCGGGGCCGGCGCCCTCACTGCGTACAGAACGGTGCATGCAGCGTACTTGTTGATCCGTATGCGTACTAACGGCTGCATGGCCAGCATCCTCGGGCCGCTCGACCTCCGACCAGATTTCCATGTCCACAACAGTACTTGCAAGCAGTGAGTATGTACAGTGTATGTTGTGAGTTACGGGCAGACTGGAGCAGGGCTCGGACCCAACCTGTCCGGATTTGGGGAGGTTTTTTTACTGTACCTTCAAAAGAGCACGGGCAATGGCAATGCGTTGCTTTTGACCACCTGTTAACAAAACACAAACACACACACACACACAGATATAGACAAACAGATATAGACAAACAGACAGACAGACAGGCATACAGACAGGCGTATGCACACCCAAATATCAGGCTTGAAGGGATGTGAGACACTAGACCAATACTACTTAGTCATTGAGTATTAAACAATGATTGTTCAATGTTCAATGTCATTGAGTATTAAACAATGATTGTTCAATGTTCAATGTCATTGAGGATTAAACAATGATTGTTCAATGTTCAATGTCATTGAGTATTAAACAATGATTGTTCAATGTTCAATGTCATTGAGGATTAAACAATGATTGTTCAATGTTCAATATCATTGAGGATTAAACAATGATTGTTCAATGTTCAATGTCATTGAGTTTACAGCACATAACTATGGTAGCGGCCTAGTTTCAGAAAACAACATTTTGGATTGGGGAATTGCTACGATTTCATGCATCAACCAGCATTACAGTCATATATGCACTATATACCATGTCTTGCGCAATATCACATTTGCCAGCGATGTGGTGATTTTTCTTTCTTTTTTTCTACAAAATCCACATATCTCCAGACACTGGGGTGAATGATGGAGTGTGGTGGTGGGGCCCATTAAACTCCGCCGACCAGAGGTCTCGGCTTCATAGCTCCATGGACAAATCATTGCAGTGATGTGGTGCTACACAGCACCTACGTAGAGACACACAGATGTATACAGACTCTAGAAACAAGTACAACACCAGCAGGCCATGGAAAAAGAACTACAGTAGCAATAAACGACCCATGAATAAAAGGGCAAACATTGCACCCCCCCCCCCCCCCCCTCCCCCTCCCCACACACACACAGACACGCACACACACATGCCGGCACAGCTAACATGGTTGTCTCCCTCACCGGACAGCTGAACTCCATGCTCCCCAATCTCCGTGTCCAGTTGATCCGGAAAGTCCTGGATGAACTCCATAGCGTTGGCCTTGGCTGCCACCTCAACCAACACCTTTCTCTTCTGCTCTGCCGGCAGGCTCAGCACAGCAGGACGGCCATAGCCTATGTTCTCTCCTATCGTACCGGCAAACAGTACTGGTTCCTGGAATGCATCACAAGACAGTAGAAAATACAGACACATACCGAAGTTACCGAAATAAACGCGTTAGGGGCCGTCCGGGGTTACCGATTGTTTTACAAAACGAAAAGTTTGAGTACTTTTCATCCCCCACCCACACACCCACCTTTTCTGCAGGTAAAACGAATTCCAATAAAATATTGATGTTCGTTTTCGACACCCAGAAGTAACTGGGCATTCTCCATCTGCATTCAATAATTATTTTCAAAACGAAACTCCATCAAACCCACCCACCCCCAAACGAAAACTTTTTGTTTTTTTGAAAATATTATTGGTAACTTTGGACGGCCCCTTTATATAGTATCAGGTTTGTTTTCTAAATAGGCTTCTGTGGTATGATCAGAATTACCGTACTCATGCGACTAGAGCCCCCTCTTGAATAGTGCCCTATTTCGAATAGTGCCCCAGTCTCTAAGAACCAGTGAAAAAATAAAGCCCTCTCTTGAATAGTACCCCCCCCCCCCCCCCCGTGGGCTTGTAGCCAAGCGCTTGACGAATTAGTTTGGTGTTGTTTTGCTATAGTCTAGTCCATGCCATTGCACTGGTGGTATTAGGGTCAAAATCGCAGTTCTTGCTGCCGTTTCTGCCGAGTCGTGATCGTTTACAGCAAACAGTTGAAACTTTAGGCTCCGTTTTTCTTTGTTTATATGCTGGATGACGCAAATGTACCAGCATTGAAAAAATAGTGTCCTCTCTTGAATAGTACCCCATCTGTGATGGACAGTGAAAAAATAGTGCCCCAGGGGCACTAGTCGCGCGAGTACGGTATTGACCGTACAACTACAGACACAAAATCACCATACAATCACAGACACAAATTGACCATACAATTTTAAAACTGTTTTCTCCTAGTTCTCCATTTCTCTATTTTCATACTCTCAATGAGGGGTGGGGTGCGGCTTATACTGCAGAAAATAAGGCACATCATGTGACATGTACAAGCAAGCACATCATGTGACATGTACAAGCAAGCATACCTGTCCAACAATGGCCACATTCTTTCTGAACCAGGTAGGGTCAAGCTGCTTGATATCCGTGTCTCCGAGAAGAACACTACCTTGGTTGCAGTCATACAGACGCAACAACAGACTGGCCAAACTGTACATGGCACAGGATATCACATCAGCATGCACACACACATACACACACGCACACACACGCACACGTACACACGTACATACACACACACATACATACAGAGTATGGTGTTACCAAGAGTACATAACCCCAAGCGAATACAAGTCTGATCTCCAAGCCATGGATACAGTGGGCAGCAGCGCAATACCTTCACTACGGAGTGAATGATGCTCAAGCTACATGGGTTCGATATTTCCTTTGCTTTAGGTGCAACAATTTCACGCAAAATACAGTAGGCTCAAAGGCAGTACCTGTACGCGCCGCATCACACACACTAAGCCTTCCCAAGTCTCCGCAGGAAGCTGGACACTGTAGCAGATCAATAACGACAAAACTGGCCCAGCTGACCCCCCCAGTTCATGGCTACACAATTGTGTACCCGCCAAAAATCATGTGGACTGTGAAATGGGAATTTCTCGTTACAAATACATGGACAGAAGTTTTCTGCCGGACAAATTTGAGTGACCTGCAGCAGATCTGTACGCATGTTCTCGGTGTGGGCCACAACACAGAAATCCTCATCTCCAAGTAGAAATCTGCCCCCAAATCATGTGATGCCATGAAGCCGTGAACTTCAACTGTCACACCAACTCTTTATGTGGTTTCTCTGCCTTTTTACGTCAAGCAAAACCTCTCCATAATCTCCAGCAGGTTGATTATTGGCAGAGAGAACCAAGGAATAAACGCAGCAGGTAGTTATATTATTCCAAACTGGAGCAGGACTAAGAAAGATTGCTCCTACATAGAACACACGGTGCAGGACTAAGAAAGGTTGCTCCTACTCTAGCGGACATTGAAAATCCGTTGGGAAGTCAAGTGGCCATGGGGCGCTGGCCTTGCAGCCGCAAGCACTGTTGTTCCAATGTTTACAGTGTGTACGTGAACTACAGACAGTGCATGTACGCTCTAAAAGCAGTAAGGGCGCGCGCCGGCCCCGGTCATCCCATCGGATTTTCAATGTCCACAACAGTATGTGGAACACACGGAGCCAGGCTGATCATGCGAGTGATCGTGCGAGTGATCGTGCGAGTGATCATGCGAGTGATCATGCGAGTGATCATGCGAGTGATCATGTGATGGATCATGTGACACTGACCTGCTCTTTCCAGAGCCACTGACACCAACAACTGCAGTCACTGAGCCAGCATCCAGTGTCAGGTCCAGACCACTAAACACTGGAACGCTGTCACGTGTCGGGTATGCAAACACCACATCGCGGAAATGAATGTCGCGTGCCAGAAGGGATTTGTCCGGTTGCAGACCACCTATAACAGGAGAAACAACACCACCACCACCACCACCAGCAGCAGCAGCAGCAGCACCACCACCACCAGCAGCATAAACAGCAACAACAGCAACATCAGCAACAACATCAGCAACAACATCAGCAACAACATCAGCAACAACATGTGCATCAATTCAAAATTGAACATTTGATCAGACGGCTACCATCATACCATAGTGCCTAGTGTTTGTCTGGCATAGTATTGCACGCCTATGGTGTTATTGTAGAAGTGGAAAGCATGCAGGAGGGGTGACATCCTGAAACACCAGCTCCAGTCGTGTGGCAAGCAATACACCGGTGAGTGTTGCTGCCAGACGGTCGCAATAATGAACACGATGCCCTGAGCAAGTATGATCAAATCTCTAGAGGTTTCTTGCCATGATCACCGTCTCTAGGCATGACTGGTGGGAAATAGCACATAGCAACAAGAGAACATGAAACCAAGATTGTGCAGGTTCTGATTTTTTCTGCATGGATATCTGTCATGACGAAACTCCTGAATTACATCATAATTGGTGCAGATACGCGGCGGGAAGTGGAGTAGTGCGTACAACTGAGCTGCAGTTGTGCAGCAGGCGACATGCTTGAATCATGCATGTACGCACTCCATCCTAAATTGATGTAATCCAGGAATTTGGCCGTGATAGCTAACCATTCGAGCGGTACACGCTTGACTTTATATATTATTATTAGTAAGTGCATCCCTGCAAGTGTGGCGGGATTGCCACTCTCGCTTATGCCATTCAGGACACAATGAGAGAGAGAGAGAGAGAGAGAGAGAGAGAGAGAGAGAGAGAGAGAGAGAGAGAGAGAGAGAGAGAGAGAGAGAGAGATGGTGGATATATGCACTCACAAACATACTCCTGCATATACAGTGGTGCAGACTCGCTAAGGCTTGCCTAGTCTAATACTAACCAGAAACAGGAATAGAAGCCTGGCGTTCACTGAGCTCCCACAGGCGTGTGCTTGCCCCAATGCCTTTCATCATCTCCGAGAAGAATCCACCCAGGCCTGAAACCAAGCATAGCAAAGCAGAACATGGACATTATTAACATATACAGGCCATACACATAGAGAGTGGTATATGGGACATACACACACATGGACAGTGACAGTGGAATACAGGCTATACACACATAGGTAGTCACAGTAGTTTACAGTCAATTTCGCTAATGGCGACTGCAGATATAACGACAATTCGCGAATACCGACAGAATTTCTATGCCCAGAGCAAAGTCCTATCCAACTGTAATACATAATCCTTACACCTGCAGTCTCATTATATTATAATGACTGCGGGTGTAAGGACACCTCGCGAATAAAGGCACTTTTCTGATGCCCCGCTGAGTGTCATTTTACGCAAAGTTGACTGTACTTGTTGTGTATCGTGTCGGAGAAAGGTCTTCTGGGGTGTCGTCGAGATCTCGTTGCGACCGTGACTCCTGCTTGTCTCCCTGGCTAGGTGCTGCCTGCTTTGCTTTTTTGCGTAGTGTTTTTGATTATTGTTTACTATTGCGTATTGTTAGTGTTCGTTGTGATTTGGTACAGTACTTGTTACGAGATACGACACATTGTGTAGTGTGTGTTTGCAGCACGAAGAAGACTGCACACCAGAACGGTTAGCTCAGGAGCTTGGGCTTACCTTGTGCAATCACAGTTCATCAGCTTGGACATTGCGCTTGGTCCCATGCGAATAACCGACTAGAATAGTAATTATTTCTTCGTTGCATTTTTGAATTGTGTTCTTGCTAGCTCGTTGATTTATTTAGTTGATGTGTTGATTTGTGTTTGATTACTTATTTATTTGATGCGCGATTTATGTGCGCTGATTGCGTGATGGCATGCAATTATGATCATGCTTGCGCCAGCTAGCTAGATGCCTGCGCCGCGCACTGATGTTGAATGAGTTAGTACGCGCCCCGCGCTGTTCATGCATATATGGTACATGGTGTGTAATGTTTGCCGCACACGCGTATACGTGCCTCGCCTCGTACTGCTTATGTGCCGCGCGCCGTACTATTGCTGTCGCTTTGCCGCCAAATTTAGCTTCCGCTTTCCGAGCGCTGTACGCTCTTCTGTACGCTCATGCCAAAGTTGGACGCACGTTGTGGCTGGCCAGCGCTTTACCCCTCATGCGTTGTTCTTTTCCTTGATGCTGTGGTTTGTTTTTCTTTAGTGTTCTAGAGTTCTCTTTCCGATGTAGTTCGTATTTTTCCAGTCTCTTCTTCTCAATGTATTCTACTGTTCATTCATTATAGTCCGTAAAGAATTACGTGACCTTTTGTCTTGTGGCGTCTGTGCGATCCTGAAACTTTTGAGGTGTTAGTAGTGAACACAACATTTTTGGCGACCACGCCAGGATAGAGACGCGTGAACATGGATGAGGTAGAAGCGAAGCTGATCGCAAATGGTCAAGCTTATGGCTACACTGGAGAGGCATTGCGTACTTACGTAGAGGAGCGTATCGAGAAGCACGAGGAGAAAGTGCGTGCAGACAGAGAGCGCGACGAACGAGCAGGAAGTAGATTGGAAAGGAAAGATGACGAGCAGCTGCTTGCGAGGATTGCAGATTTGGAGTTGCAAGTCCAGCACACACGAGAGACTCAGAGTGATGAGAGCACTTTGTTGAATACAACGAATGGCAGTTTAGCGAGCAAGAGGGCTGCCATCAAGATGCCGAAGTTCGACGGTAAGCAGACTGTTGAGACCTATCTCGAACTGTTCGAGGATGTGGCAAAGCAAAATGAGTTCAGCGACGACGAGTACCTGATCCGCTTGCGCGTGGCTGTTGCTGGCAGCAAGTTGGAAGGTGCATGCTATGGCTGCAACACCTTTGCCGAAGCGAAGCGCGAGCTGCTGATGGCGCATGGGAAGACCGCCGACAAAGCGTGGCAAGCCCTGATGGCCATACAGCAGAAAAGTGATGAGAGTTTCTACCAGTTTGTGGTACGAGTGACGCGCGAGACGGAGAAGTGGGCAAAACTCGCCAGGCCTAGCCGTACCTCTAGCCGCGGACAAATCGGTGAGCTGGACGACACTGAATTGTTCGGATGTGTCGTACGTCAAGTCCTGCTAGAAGCTGTGTCGGCAGAAACTAAGGCCTTCTTGATCGAGAAGAGATGTTACACGAAGGACTTGAAGGCGTTTGCGGAGGATGGTATGGCTTACCAAACAGCCCACGGACGTAGCAAGCTGAAGCCTGCCAAGTCTAGCACCAGCGACAAACGTATACCGTTTGCGTCGGCAGAGTGTTTGACGGTCAGCGTTGATGAGGCTAACAAGAAATTGTCAGCTATGGCGTCTGAGCACCGAAACGCGTACGTCAAGGCAGAGGGACTGTGTTTCAACTGCCTGAGACCAGGACATCGAGTGATGAATTGTCAGAACAAGGGTCGTTGCAAGCACTGCAACAAGCGACACCACAGTCTACTGCACAGAGAGGACAAACAGGTAACATCCGAACCGATAGCCGAATCGAAAGTCGGTACGTATGAATGTAGTGCAAACAGCGTGCACTTGATGACCGGCGTGGCTGAGGTACAAGGACCTAGCCGAAAGGCCAGTGTACGCATATTCATCGACCCAGGTGCGCAGGCATCGTTCATCACCGCGCCACTGGTGAACTCGCTGCAACCGGCACACCTTGGATCGCAAACTGTCAGGCTGAAGGCGTTTGACGTGGAGCCGAAGTTTGAAAAGATGGACAGGTACCGTGTCACCATCAAGGGTGCAACGAAGTCCATTTCCGTCAATGCCTGGCAAAAGAAGTCGCTAGGTCTCCGATTCGATCCGCTAGCAGACAGCACAATTGCACGTTGGCAGTCACAGGGATTGCAGCTGTCTGATGACTCGACAAAGGCCGGATCAAGCGAAGTGCACATGCTGATTGGAGCTGACTACTGCAATGAGTTCCTTCTCCGCAAGGAGCAAATCAATGGAGAGACGGCCTGGCACACTGAAATAGGCTGGGTGCTGTCAGGACCGGCTAATAGTGAAACCAAGTCAGCGACCGTCAGTGTGAGTTGTATTGAACTTGACCGACTGTGGAAGATGGAAGAGGTGCCGGAAATAGCTGAGACGTTACCGGACTTCCCGATAGAGCGGCAAGGCCCTCATTACCAAGTGGGATTGCTATGGCGATCTGAGAAGCGTCCGCCAGCCAACCTCAACCAAGCGATGGCAGCAGCACACTCACTGCTGAAGCAGCTACAGAGACGAGGTCAACGTCCAGCGTATGATGACGTCCTCATCACTGAGTACTTGAAGCTGGATGCCATTGAAAAGGAACCGCATCCGGAGGAAGCCGGCTATTACATGCCGCATCATGCCGTATTCCGTAGCGACGCCTCAACGACGAAGACACGGGTCGTCTTCAATGCATCCGCCGCCTGCACCGGAGCACCATCCCTAAACGACATGGTCGATCCCGGGCCATCACTCCTACCGGATCTCACTGGTATCCTCCTCAGGTTCCGTGAGTATGAATGTGCTGTACAAGCCGATATTCGCAAGGCTTTTTTTATGATCGGAATGCGTGAAGAAGATAGGCCATATCTGCGTTTTGTTTGGCCTGAGATAGGTAGCGAAGAAATGTGTATCTGGCGTTTAAAGAAGCTGCCTTTTGGAGTGAATTGTTCTCCTTTCATACTTAGTGCTGTGCTGCGCTTTCATCTCGATAGTGCATTCGAGTCTGCTTCTGCTGCTGAGCGTGATATCATAGAGCTGCTGCTGCGTAGTCTTTATGTTGATGATTGCGTTTCTAGCTTGCCATGCTGTGCGGATGCTGAAAAGCTGCAGGAGTATAGCGTTAATGTTTTGCAGGGAGCAGGCATGGAGTTGCGGAAGTGGCGAGGGAACACGATGACCTCAGACCCCGAGGCTGGTTCCAAGGCACTGGGTATTGTGTGGAACACCGAGTCAGATTGTATTTCGGTGGCTGCGCTCGGTGATGTTGAGTGTCCCAAGGAAGTGTCTGGTTGGTCTCGTCGTGCGTTGTTGCGTTGTGTTGCCGCTGTGTTCGATCCGCTAGGTTGGGCGTCACCCGCAGTTGTGCCAGGCAAGATGATGTTGCAAGAGAGTTGGAAGCTCGGCGGTGGTTGGGATGACCCATTCCCTATTGATTTGGCTGTCCGATGTGCTTCATGGTGGGGAGAGCTCGCAGCGCTTTCTTCCGTTAAAATCCCCAGATGGATCGGGTGTACTCCAGATGCTCCAGTCACGTTGCATGTATTCTCAGATGCATCCGAGAAGGGCTATGGCTGTTGTTTCTATGTTGTGTCCGGTTGGACGTCTTCTTTGTTGTGTGCGAAGGCGAAGGTTGCACCTGTTGTACGTCCCACTCTTGCGCGTCTGGAATTGTCAGCTGTGTGTCTTGGCGTGAAGATGTTGTCCTTTGTCGTCAATGAATTGAGAGTGCCAATTGAAAGGATTGTGGGGTGGACAGACAGCCTAACCACATGGCACTGGATCTCAAAGCCGTCGTATCACTGGAAGACGTATGTTGCTAATCGAGTTGCTGCAGTGCAAGAAGTTTCGCAGAAGCTGCAAGTAGAATGGGGTCACTGTCCAGGAGTTAGCAACCCTGCAGATCTTGTCTCGCGTGGTGTCCCAGTGTGTGACTTGCAGAAGGAGATGTGGCTGCATGGTCCGTCATGGTTGAGCGATGAGTCTCAGTGGCCACCAGTCATCTCGTTTCAGAGCACAAATGAGTCCGTCACCGAAGCACGCGTGTCGGCTGTGGAGGTTGACACTCCAGTTGTTTGGCCGTGGGAGAAGTTCTCCAAGTGGCAACGAGCTCGCGGTTTGGTCGCAAGTATGCTGTCATGGCGACACAGGGGTGTTTCGCGTGCAGAATTGATTCCATCTGCTGAGTCTGTGATGTTTCGCGCCATCCAAGAGCAATGCTTCCCCAAGGAGTTGTCCCAGTTGCAGAGCAAGGAGCCACTGAAGAAGGGTTCGAAGCTGTTCAAGTTGTCTCCGTTTCTGGATGAAGCTGGTTTGCTCAGAGTTCGTGGTCGTCTGCAGGAGAGCGATCTGTCCTACGAGGTTCAGCATCCGATCATCCTGGGCAGATGTCATCTAAGTGAGTTGTTTCTGCGTGATGCTCACCTTCAGCGAATGCACCAGGGTGTAGAGAGCGTGCTTGCGTTTCTACAACAGCAGTTCTGGATTCTCGGAGCTCGTCGTTTTCTTCGTAGCGTGTCGGAGAAGTGCATTGTTTGCCGCAGATTTCGCGCACAGACTGCTGCTGAGGAGATGCCGCCGTTGCCCTCAGACAGGGTGAAGCACCACCAGCCATTCGGTCTCACAGGTATTGATTATGCAGGTCCGTTGTACGTGCGCAGTTCATCAAATGTTCAGAAAGTGTGGGTCGCACTCTTCGTGTGCGGTACTACTCGCGCAGTGCACCTAGAGCTCGTGGATAGCCTGTCGACAGAGGTGTTCCTGCTAGCATTGCGTCGTTTCATCGCCCGTCGTGGGAAGCCGCTGCGTATACGTTCAGATAATGCTACGACGTTCAAGTCCGCCGCAGACAAGGTGGCAATCCCGTGGTTCTTCAATCCGCCATCTGCCCCGTGGCATGGAGGGTTCTATGAGCGTCTGGTGGCATGTGTGAAAGCTCCCTTGAAGAAGGTTCTCGGTCGAGCGTCATTGAGTCGAGACGAGCTGTTCACTGTCTTGACGGAGATCGAGAGAGTCGTCAACTCTCGACCCCTCACTCCGGTTTCTACGGATGTAGCTGACGAGTCGCCGCTGACTCCAGCCATGATGTTGGGAGACATCTTTGCAACCGGTATTGCCTCGTCGGACAGACCACTCGATCCACGGCAGTTGTCCGCTCGAGTCAAGTATGTCCACACCGTCTACGAGCACCTCAACCAGCGTTGGTCGTCTGAGTATCTCATTCGTCTCAGTGAGTATCATCGGTCGAAGTCAACTCCGATTGTCGTGAACGACGTTGTGTTTATTGCCGACGACAACCGGAAGCGGCAATCATGGCGCTTGGGTAGGGTCGCAGAGCTGTATCCTGGAAGAGATGGCAAGTGCAGGGTGGCCAAAGTCCAAGTTGGCCAATCGTCCATGCTACGGCCCATTCAACGCTTGGTTCCGTTGGAAGTAGCGAAGGAGCATGTTGAGCCGCCTGCTGTGGACGCTGAGCCGCAGCCGCAGACACCCGCGAGTGTAATCCCGTCAACGTCGTCGATGATGTTGAAATACCTTCGACGACCGTTGAACCGCAAGTTACGCGTCGATCTCGTCGTACCGTTCGACCACCACCTCGTCTTGATTTGTGATCAGTGTGGTTGAAGCCCTTTGGTGGGGAGAATGTTGTGTATCGTGTCGGAGAAAGGTCTTCTGGGGTGTCGTCGAGATCTCGTTGCGACCGTGACTCCTGCTTGTCTCCCTGGCTAGGTGCTGCCTGCTTTGCTTTTTTGCGTAGTGTTTTTGATTATTGTTTACTATTGCGTATTGTTAGTGTTCGTTGTGATTTGGTACAGTACTTGTTACGAGATACGACACATTGTGTAGTGTGTGTTTGCAGCACGAAGAAGACTGCACACCAGAACGGTTAGCTCAGGAGCTTGGGCTTACCTTGTGCAATCACAGTTCATCAGCTTGGACATTGCGCTTGGTCCCATGCGAATAACCGACTAGAATAGTAATTATTTCTTCGTTGCATTTTTGAATTGTGTTCTTGCTAGCTCGTTGATTTATTTAGTTGATGTGTTGATTTGTGTTTGATTACTTATTTATTTGATGCGCGATTTATGTGCGCTGATTGCGTGATGGCATGCAATTATGATCATGCTTGCGCCAGCTAGCTAGATGCCTGCGCCGCGCACTGATGTTGAATGAGTTAGTACGCGCCCCGCGCTGTTCATGCATATATGGTACATGGTGTGTAATGTTTGCCGCACACGCGTATACGTGCCTCGCCTCGTACTGCTTATGTGCCGCGCGCCGTACTATTGCTGTCGCTTTGCCGCCAAATTTAGCTTCCGCTTTCCGAGCGCTGTACGCTCTTCTGTACGCTCATGCCAAAGTTGGACGCACGTTGTGGCTGGCCAGCGCTTTACCCCTCATGCGTTGTTCTTTTCCTTGATGCTGTGGTTTGTTTTTCTTTAGTGTTCTAGAGTTCTCTTTCCGATGTAGTTCGTATTTTTCCAGTCTCTTCTTCTCAATGTATTCTACTGTTCATTCATTATAGTCCGTAAAGAATTACGTGACCTTTTGTCTTGTGGCGTCTGTGCGATCCTGAAACTTTTGAGGTGTTAGTAGTGAACACAACAGTACTGGACATACAGTACGGACAGTTGCCGGACACACTGCCAGGCAATCATCAAATCTCCGGTAGAGCTTCTCTCCGTCACTGTCTCCGCGCAGCTGTACCTATAGGCTAGAGTATTGGATACGTCGTCCGTTTAATGCCGATGTTCTGATGTGCTCTATGTCCTGTATACCCGATACGCAATGGGGGTCGAGTCACAATGGTTTCGCCAGTTGCGTGAATTGGGCGGTTACCCTGTGCAAGTCTTGATCTGCTTCATTCAGAACTTGTCCGCTATTGCTGCTCTCAGAGAAGGTCAGTGGATGTACAAGCAATGCACTCGTAGGCTAGTGTGCTTGTCTTGGGAGTCGTATGCATGCTACAAGGTATCTATACTGATCGGTTGACAGCATGTTACAACACGGAGGACGCACAGTGTTGAAAGCAGTGCTCCTGACTACAACCGTCATCGGTTGGCAGAGCCTCGGTCTTGGAGCGCTGTTTTCAACACAGTGCATTTTCCGCCTTGTAACATGCTGTCAACCGATCAACATGTTAATCTATCAAACAAAACTTACATACTTATACCACGGTATCTATATACAGTCTGTAGCAGAATCAGCGGAGGACGTCCAGGTTGGTTGTAACTTTGAGTTTCATGCCGCTAGGCAATCATCAGACAACTGATACCGGGGACCTACCCAGTAGTATGCTTATAAACACAGAGCCAAAGGCATAAACAAATGCCAAGGTATCTCTATACGCACCTCCCACTGATATTCCAGCATACGCCAGATAGACTAGGAAGGATGTTAGCTGTCCAACAGTGATAGCATCAGTCTGCATAAGCATTCCTCCCTTCCACAGCACCGCCAGCCCTGCGATGTTACCAACAAGTCCAGCCTAACAGCACACAACACACAACACACAGCAGTAACAGTGATAACAGATGAAATACGGCTATACGGGCTGAGGTCCGCTAAAACATGTCTTTCGGGTTTCGGAATTTTTCTGACACATGACGAGCGCGTTCGCGCTGTGCTTCATTCGTCAACCGGTGCCGATAGCATCTTGTGGAACTTCATCATGTAGAACAACACAGTATGAGTACTTACCGCCCCGAAGAACAGTGCGTTTGCTGTGCTCTCACGATAGGCCAATCGTAGCACATTCTCCAACTCACCATTGTAGCTGCAAGCAAGTTAGAACACACACACACACGCACGCACACACACACAATTCAAAAATTAATATGAATATGAATCAGACACCCAGATAAAAGGTTCAAGCACTCACTCAGCAGCAGCAGCAGCATGCGGCCCTGTACAGATTCTTCATCACCCACCACAACACAGCTGCGCTCTCCAGCTGACCTCGACACCCCGACCTCTTCTGCATTCACACCTGGTTCTTAGCATCACGTCTTTACATTTAATATCACCAGTTAAGTTTTTTAAACCATCATCATCAATACGGAAGTCCCATCATGCCTGCGAGAGAGAAGATGCGTGGTTCACCTCTGCGGGTTTTGCAAAGATAATGCCTCTTCCCAGTAGTTTAAAGCTGGGTAAGAGGAAGAAACGGAATGATGCAGACAACACGTCCAGTTTGGTTGCCAGCAGCAGCAATTCCAGTAGCCCTCTGAAGCTGCGGTAAGCCAGAAACAGTCAATGGACGCCGATCCGCGCCCCAAGGCTGGTCGATCCCCGAGCGCAACCGACTCAGCTGACGACGTCATCCCGGCAACCCCCAGACGTCTGACAACGCCGTAAGTGACATGTTTAAAAAAAGAGTTGCTAGACGGGCAAACACAGTTACGTGCCTTGGTTGCCAACCAGGGACACAGAAATTTGAAAAAACATGACTTGTCTTGAATTGGCATCTGTGCAGAACCGGGTCTCCACGCTGGAGAAAAAGATCAAAGATGGCGACAGGACCCTGTCCAGAAGTGTACCTGAGACGGCTCACCTGAAAGAGTGTACAGAGAGTGATATCGCCAAGATCCGGGACGAGATCTCGAAGTTGAAAACGAAACAGAGAGAAACCGATCGAGCAAGGGTAACCCCAAGAAAAGACCCCAACCCCAGTGCGAATGGCCGCAGGGATGCAGTAAACCGTGGAGATGTTCAGGCCCTGATTAGGGAAGAGCGGGAGCTTGTGGTTAGAGAGAATAATGACAATACCGTGACACCATGACAGTGAGACAGGTGACAGTCTCGGCCAAGTCTCGGGACGTCTACACCTCACAGGAAGCCCCGCTACCGTCCAGATCGGCGGGAGCGCTGACCAGTTGGCGTTTGATCCGTGCCAGACTAGCGGCATGACTTTGTCAAACGACAACAAGACAGCTACCTTTCCAGCGTACACCGCAGTTGGAGCGACATGGACAGATATTGGCTGGAACTCTGGCATGAACTGTTTCGGAATCAAACTAGACGGGATTATGCAGCACCACCAAGTCACCATCACGCTATCAACAGCAAACCAGATACAGAAGCAGCGAAGGAACTTCTCATGCGACATCCAGGGCCATTTCAGACAAGTCCAAGTCACCAACAACAGCGGGTGGACAGGGCAACGGCAGAGTGGCGACAACATCATGTTCATGCCCGCAGGACATAACACTAGCGATATGCGAGCTATTAACGGACGAACTGGCAAGGAGCAGCAGCTGCCAGACATACGTAAAGTGTCAGGGCCGTATTATATCGGAATCAACGTCAGCATTGCTGGGGATGCTCGGAGGCTAGCACCCTCCAGTACCCAGTTCACACTGTTCAACTAGACAAGGTCATCAGTGATACCAGTGCTATTTGAACAACTTCCGTTAAAAACCGTCTCGCAGCACTGGCACATCCTGTCGACACACGCGCGCACACGGAGGTTGATGCACTGAGCGAGCAGCTGGATACTTCAACTCAAACTTGGTCTTCCGTTACTTGATGATACACACACACACACACACACACACACACACACACACACACACACACACACACACACACACACACACACACACACACACCACCCATACACACACACACACACATACACACACACACACACGATTGCAACCGTGCACACATGCCCCCCCCCCCCCCCCCCCCACACACACACGCACAATCACACGCATCTGCACGCACCCAGGCACCCGCCCAAAATCGATTGTTAGGATTTTCTCGACCTTCTCTTACTTCACCTCCAACCTTCTCTTCACGTGTTACTCACTTGATACTAAGCCTTGGTTTGAGCAAGGTTTTAATTAAGGATTCAGCCTGATTTCCTTTACTTCAAATTAACACTGGTAAACCACGTTGAATTTTTTGGGAACCACATGTATATTACAGTGGTCCCTCTATAATCCGGCAGCATTTGTGCCACGGAAAATCTGCTGGATTAGGGAGGGTGCTGGATTAACAAATCTGATTTACTGCTGCAATGTGCATGAAGAGGACATTTTGGCTACTGAAAATTGTGCTGGTTTATCGAGGGTGCTGGTTTATCGAGGGTGCTGGTTTATCGAGGGTGCTGGTTTATCGAGGGTGCTGGATTAGAGAGGGATGACTGTATACTAGTAGCCATAGCCAGCAGCAGCAGCACACTCTATGCCACAGGTACTACCACAGGCATAGCAGTATTCTGACAAAACCCAGCCTAGCAGAACCAGCAAATTGCTATTACCAGCTTGGAGTTAGCAGTCAGTTACAAGTAGTAATACAAATATGGCATGCAGAGGACAAGTTGCAAGCAGCTAGTAATATACTGCCGGGTAGATACACCATGGTCAAACATACCGCTGCACTTCGCTCTCCTCTTGTCCGAAGTAGCGCACGGTTCTCATATTACTGATCTTCTCCTCTGCCACCTGCAACCAAGCCAGGGGGGAGAGAGAGAGACACACAACTTGCCTCATGAAGAGAATCACTGGTTCGGACATGCAGTGCATGTGCACAGGTGACATAGAGTAGATGGCAGCTTTCAACCCTGTCGACCCTGTCCAACACCAACACACCCAAAGTCCCACGCGTGCACACCCACGCGTGCACACCCACGCACACTCACACACCCACATGCGCACACCCACCCACCCCCACACACACACTCCTCCACACACCCACACAGATGCCCCCCCCCCCCCCCCCCCACCCCACCCCACACAGATGCCCCCCCACCCCCGCGCATGCACCCAGGCACTCAGTAAGCACACATGACTGTATGTCTGACCTGCGTAGACTGAGCGACAGCGTCTTGTGTTTTCTGCGTGATGGAGCGGATGTAGACACCGTACAGGGCACCGAGGCATGCGATTGGCGGTACAATAATCAGTGATGCATTGGCCAATGGTGGTGACAGATAGTACTACAGAGTGAGCAAAGAAGATAGAACAACAACAACAACACATATGTTAGCAAGGTTAATCAGTGCAAACTACACATTGAGCAAAGATGATAGAACAACAGCAACGCACATGTTGAACTCGGATGGCGAGCCAATATAATTATGATGAAGAAAGGAACAGTTACGTTGGTTACGTTGGTGGACAGTTTTGTCATAACTCGTAACATTGTGCCCTTTTTCCTTTCTTCAACGCACATGTTACCAAGGTTAATCAGTGCAAACTACACAGTGCAGGGCGCGAAATAACGGTCGGACATCGGACAATTTCCGACCGTTTACGGTCAGTTTCCGGATGTTTTGTACATATCCGGACAAAGTGTCCTCGCACCTTTTTGCAAAGTACAAAAAAGAAAAGGCACTTCAATCCTTTGTCTCATAGTCATTCGTGATGTCGTCTGGCAAGAGGAAGCCAAGCACCGCTGATGCGGGTGCTCCTCTTGGAAAGAAGCCCAGAGGGTCAATACGACCACTTGTGACAAGTGGGTCGCCGAGTATGATAGGGAGCTTTCAACTAACTTCTGTTTGGCTGAGCTATGAGCGCAGTCCCTCAGATCGTAGCGTTGTCGAAAATTTGAAGTGTAAGATGTGTTCCCGTTTTGTTGATAAAATTCGCAGCAGCAAGAATTTTTCTGACTCCTTCGTCGTTGGCTCAAGGAACCTGAAAACGTCAGCCTCAAATATCATGCTGCTTCTGAAATGCATCGTCGTGATAACATTTCGATGGTATTAATTCTACACTGAACATTGTGTGATTTGATGTGAAAGTTGCATGTCCGGACATGTCCGGCCATTTTTGCAACTGGCAGGACATTGTGTCAGAGCATATTTTAATCCTTAGCGCATGCCCTGCAGTGAGCAAAGATGATAAGACAACAACGCACATGCTACCAAGGTTAATCAGAGCAACTAGGGCACCAATAAAGTTTGGAATGTTTGGCTAGTATTTGTTCTTAAAAGGGAGGAATATTCTGCGGCAGGCGTAGGCAAATATCCGCCAGTACATACACACATGCACGCACGCACGTGCACACACACACACACACATCCACACACTTGTACTTGTTGCTCACTGCCAAAACTGGTCACGTGGGTCTCCCCGGGAGAGGGGAGAGAGACTCAAAAGGAATCTTGGAAAGATGGCTCAATTGGCTATTGAACCGCCCAACGGCCAACACCCCCTGAAATCCCCAAAACTCTGGGTGGACTTGAAAATGATCCCACTTATGGGCTCACCACACCTCAGTAAGTGGGTGAGGACAAGGTGCAGAAAAAGGATTGACGGCATCAGGGTATCCGTCCCGGGATCCAACTGCAGTTACTCCTGCCCCCCCCCCCCCCCCCCCCCACATACATACACACATGCGCGCACACACACACACACACACACACACACACACACACACACACACGCGCGCACACACGGACGTACTCACCATCATGCCAAGACCACTGGCACCACGGAGCAGCGATCGCAGTCCATTGCTGACATTGTCCGTAAGCGCTTTTCCAGCAATCGTCGTGTCCAGTGATAAACGACTGACCAACTGACCTGTTCAGTTTCAAAAACACAATCAGCACACAAAATTGTCACCATTGGCAACCAGCAAAATACAACCAGACCACAACAGGTGAGACAAACCGTAATTGGTCATCAAACTTGATTTCCGTTGCGGCTGTACTGCCAACGGATGTGTGCTGGTGATTGTGGTGCAAACAATCCAAGAACACACACACACGCACACACACACACACACACACGCACACACACACACACAACTCCACTGTAACTCTCCTGCATGACAAACCACACCATGAAATGGCACAGGAACAGCAGCAAACAACCCCCCAGCAAGACCAATGGTGACATGCGTGTAGGTTGCCATCAGACCGTACAAGGAACATTGACGAAATTTAATTATCCTACAAGTTAACCATACCTGAATGACTGGAATCGAAGAAAGCCATTTCCTGCTTGACAATGTTGGAAAAGACTTTCTCCCTCAGACGACGGATAACCCTTGCACCTGTAGTTGTGCAATAAAAAGAGAAAAAATATACAGAACGATCTTCCTGTGCACATGGTTGTACTCATGTGTAGCCGTGGTTACCCAAAACACACACACACACATCTCCTCCTCCTCCCCCCCCCCCCCACACACACACACATCTCTCTCTCCCCCCCCCCCCCCCGCCACACACACACATCTCCTCCCACTCCACATACAAACATCTCCCCCCCCCCCCCCTACACACACATACATGTTTCCCTTCCCCACTACAACCGCACCACTGCCAGCAACACCAACACCACAACCACTATAAACAACAACCACCACCAACATCCAACAACAAAAACTACCAACCACCACCAACCACGAGTAATCAGCAACCACCGACCACGCAACCACAAGCATCACCAGCACCACAACCCGACTACCAAACCACAACCATCACCACCACCCTCCCCCCCCCCCCCCCCCCACGCCTAAAGCAGCAGCAGCAGCAGCATCATCACCGGCACCACCATCACCAGCAACACCACCATCACCGGCAACACCACCATCACCAGCAACACCACCACCACCACCACCACCAGCATCACCGCCACCACCAGCAGCAACACCACCCGGACCAGCATGATGACCAACCTGAGGTCTGAATGAGATACACGCGGCCGCAATTGGCCACAGCACCGATGACAAAGATACTGGCCAGCAGTTGCACCAGCGATGTCAACTTGCGTCTCATCTCCTCCGGCTCATCGTCCTGTGCACTGCTGTAGATCATGTCAATGACTTTACCAATACACGCCGGCACTGCCATGGTTACGCCCGTGGAGATGAGCAGCAGGACACAGGCACCTGTATGTATATACAACACAACACAATGCAACACACAGAGGTGAGAAGACACATGTACCTATACCGTATTTTACCAGTCGTAAGTCGACCCCGGTTATAGGTCGACCCCGGTTATAGGTCGACCCCGGTTATAGGTTGACCCCGGTTATAGGTCGACCCCCGTATCCGGAGGTCTCTATTCTGCTTTTTAAAGTTTTCACCCAACGAAGCATTACTAACCACTCCCTGCTACGAACACATCAACAACTCATGTAAACATTCCTTATTGGAGGGTATAACGTCCCAATCCTTGAAAAGGCCAATAAACTGGCAAAAATGTGTACACATGGTGCACTCGTGCATGCAGTGCAGGTCATTTTTTGCAAGACACTGATAGTTCCCGGTTATAAGTCGAATCCCGGTTGTAAGTCCCACCCCTTCTCCTTCTATTTTTAGTCGTAAAGGTCGACTTACAACCGGAAAAATACGGTATGCATAATACAACACAACACAACACTCAAACAGATTGACATGTATTCAGCACTAAACTCTCACATCAGTGGTAAGGACGCGCTCACACTGCGGCCACGTGGCCAATGGCATGCACTTGACCTAAATGTTTTTAGTTGCTTCGTTGTCAGCTGATCGTGACCAATCTCTACAGCGTACTCATTCAATGCCATGACAGCTTGGTCCAGCTTTTCCGCTTGGGAAACCATCTTCCCCTGCTTTTCAGTTTTTTTGCCACGAATTGTGCCAACACTGACCGCAAATTGTGCCGCGAATTTTGAGCTTTTCTTCCGCAATTTTCCCCCGAGGATAGTTCAGCAGCAAGGTTCTGCAGCAGCGAGGTGTGTGCCTCTCCAGGAGAACCAGTTGTGTATGGCCACACATACAGATGGGGCAAGCTCAAACCTCTGGCGGAACTACGAGAGTGAAGTGAACTGTGGAGTGTAATGCATGGGGTACAGTAAATCCACCTGGATCATGGATATCACCATGCATTTTATCGCATGCACTTCGAACCCATTGGTCGTTGCGAGTCTGTACAAAGCAGAATGTAGGTGTTCCCGCTGAAGCAGAACTGCAGAAGCGAGGCTGCTGCTCCCAAAATCTTGGAGGCAGCGGATTTGAACTTCCGCTGAAGTGGTAGTTCTGCTTTCTGCAGTTGCCATGGTAATTTTCTCTCCTGCAGTGCTGCTTCAGTGGTTCTGCCACTCTTCAGCGCATGTGTGACCAGGCTCTCAGTCTGATCACTGCACCGTCCAGCTCTTGTATGACTGGGCCATAATCACTCTACTCTCTAGCCATACTGACCAACCACCACAATCTCAATCCTTTGGCAAGACATGCAGAATCCCTGGATTTCTCTCAAAATCCCTGGATGGCACAAAAACAAGTGAAAAAGAGCTTTTCCCGCCAAAAAAACATTCGACTCTGCAGCTGTGCGTACAGCACAGATCGACCCTGTACTAGGCTGTAGCGCAGTTTGATCAGTCGGTGCCCGCCTAGCGCCTGTCACTTTGTCAGTGCAGATCTTGCATGGTCAGGTCTTCAAAGTGCTGTGCACAGTTCGAAGTGCGAATGAGCACCGTACATACCTTTGCAAAAAGTTCAAAAAACCGGGACATTCGGGGAGAAACCATGGAGTTTTCAGGAAAATCCTGTATCGGACAAAACTTTGTTTTTTCCGGGAGTTTGCTTGAAATCCCCGGGACCCCGGGAGGAGTGTTGATTTTCCGGGATTTTCCCGGGGAAAACGGGAGGGTTGGCCAGTATGTCTAGCTGATGTATGACCTAGCCCTGATCACTGAACTCTATGATCACTACAGTCATGTACTGTACATAATGCAATGCACAAGACATGCAATCACATGTTACACCCTGCACCAACTATGGAGGTGGCTTGTAGTATTCCGAAATGGCTTTGTTGAGTAAGTGCAAAGATCATCGGTACTCAGGCACAACCTCTATGCAAGGTTTGGCAGAGACAACACTGCCGGGCATCGCATTACACGTCCGAGGGTGTCAGAAATGTCACAATACTAATGCTCACTGCCATTAGTACTGGTATTACAGGGACGTTGGGACCCGTGCAGCATCCTGTGATTCTTGAAGCAATGAAGTATTATATGGGCTGTTTGGGCCCATTTCCCTAACATTCTCCTGGGCTTCCGGTGGCTTCCGGACCCCCTCCGGCCTTTTCATAGCCGCACTAATATAGAATACCATCCCGACCCCTGTAATTGCGGTGGATGTAACGAACCAGTTGAAATGTACAGAAGAAAAATCAAGACCATTCAAAACTTGACAGACTTACAGGCAAGCCGGCCGTACTCCGGTCTTGCTATTGAGAACAGCTTTCGAATCTGCTGCCATGTTCTGGACAAATTGCTCTTCTTCGCTACCGGAGCGGCTTTGTTCGCAGCAGAAAGGTCCGATTTGTAGCGTCGTACTACTGAAAACAAATTGTAATTGGTGTTACTCTGTGGAATTCGACGTTGGCCAATGGCCAGACTCGCGCGGCCAGCAGCGAGGCTCCCGGCACGCGCACACCTGAACACCGAGGCTAGCATTGTGGAACTAGGTGAACTGGCCGCCTCAGCTCAGTAATAAAAGAAGACAACTTCCAGTGCTATTTCCCTAACATACTCATTGCTGACAAAGAAAAGTTTTGTTTGATTTTCAACCTATTTCATGTGCATGTGATATGGGGTACATGTACACATGGCATGGGCCATGGGGTTGAGAGAATCCGGGTCAGTTGAATGCGTGCTTCAGTTGTCACGTGCTAATCTGCAGGTGACAGTTCGTCGTGCGCCTATCATCGCCCTGATACGTACCTGGCCTATGCTATGGTCCCAGTATGGACAGCAGGGAGTCGTAAAATACACAGTATTTTACGACTCCCTGATGGACAGCATGCCATGGTTGCACAATCGTCAGTGCAACAGGCGCTCCCAAAGACTTCTTGAACTTTTTTCTCGGGAGTTCAGTCACGTGACAGCACGGCGAAAAATCTTCGTCACGCGTCATGCATGCATTTATGACGTGAGCATGGCACAAAAATGTGCCACGTGGAAATATTGATTTTTTTTTAGACTTGTAGTTTGTTGAAGAAGGAGATGACAGCCATTTGACAGAGGAGATTTTTAGCTTTCGTTTGGTGTCTCACTCGAGGTCACAGTCGTGAGATGGGACTTCCCACGTCTTGCCGTAAAACTTTGAACGCGATTTTGATGTTGTTCCTTTGAGCGTTGACGGACGGTGATTCTTCCATCGTGTTCCTCGTCCCAAAATTAGGTAAGAACGATCGTCTTTCTTCATCTAGTTTGCAGCGGTTCCAGGCGGTAAGGAATATTTGTCTGCTCTGTATTTCTCTACAGCGAGAATTTGAATATTTGAATTCTTCATGGCCGATGAGGAGGAGAATAGCCCTGGACCTGCATGTCGGAGGCTTGGTATTTATTCAAGCAAACTGAGAAATGCGTTGAAATCAGACGAAGCTCTTACCTGTTTGAAGACGAGTGATTTTCCTGTCACCAACGATGTCGTTCTGGAGCTACTTACATTCAAAAATGCCTCGAAGTTTTCGTTCAACGATATGTTGAAATGGACTGGTTCTCTGATAGGTTCCAGTACCAAAGATATTGCTGTTGGCACGTTTGCCTCTAGAGTCCGTTCTCTGCAGCAACGTCGAGCAAGGCTGCTGAAGGACAAAGCCAGCGATCAGATTGCTGTCCTACTGGCTGAGCCCTTTATACTACCCTCTCCATCATCCGGCCAGTCGGAGTCAGGTGAGCGTCAGGAAGCAACTCCGCTTGACCCAACCGGCCACACCAGCAGCTCGGCTCATGTTGCAGGCAGTCAGCACGCAACTCCCCTGGAGCCAACCACTTACACCACCAGTCCGGCTGATGTGGACAGTCAGCGAGCAGCTTCGTCAGAGCCAGCCGCCAACACCACCACCTCGGCTGACAATGTAGATTGCGAGCTGGAGCCAACAGCAAAACGGCTCCGCGTTGAAAATGAATAATTTTATTGTCCAAATACATGGTCAAAGACATGGTCAAGACAAGTTTGTGGTTATTGTGTTGACTGTTTTTATTGTCTTTTTTGTGTCTTCCCCTCTTCCAACTGTTCTCTTCACTTTTTTCCTGTTCCGTTGCTATGGTAACAATGCTAGAATTTCCCGTTAACACTGTTAACCTACATTCCATTTTTGTTTTACCACGCTTGTGCAACGTTTTCACTCCATATTGTCATCATTGATATGTTTCGTTGCGTTTCTGCTATGTTGCTAGGGGTTGCCATGGAAACAATACACGGCGACGTGCCGTCAGGTAGTTGTTGTACATAGAAATGTTTGTACATTATTGCTTATCATATAGGCCTGTCATTTGGGCTCTTTTCAGCGAACTTTTTGTTTTTGTCACTATGTCCCCTGGTCAACTTCCCCTGGGTCCGTTTGTCAGTTTGTGCCATGCGTGCTATACACGTTTACATACAATTCAACACAATTCTATGATGATTGGCACCACAATTGAAATGACTGTATCTCAGGTTTGCTTTGAGATTTTCACATGAAATTTTCTGTGTGCTCTTGAAAGACGTGCTTATTCGATTTCCAACAGAATTTTCCTGGGAATTCTGAATTTGATTTTTTTGCCTGAACTCTAGTGTAGATCTACTAGATAGTGCCACACTGCACTAGTACTAGATCTACGTAGCAGGTCTACGTAGTGTAGTTGAAGGTTTTCACTTTTCACTTTTCAGCCTTCACTCGGCTTCAGCCTGTTGTCGAGTGTTGACTGTTGTTCACTTCAGTTCAGGCGCTACATAGTAGTAGTGTACTGTGCAGGTATCTTCTCCACTGTACTGGCGCTGGTAAATGACTGTCAATTTTTTTGTTATGAAGAAAGGAAAAGGATTGTTGATTTTGCTCCTGAATTGTCCTCCCTGTTGCTTTGCTACCGTCCTCCTCCAGTCCTCCACCTTTTTTTCTTGGCCTCATTATGGCATTCGCTTCCATGTAGCCCGTGTGTACTTGCGAATTCAAATAAAAATAAGTGGGTAACCAGATCTTATACGCGCGATACAGTCAGCGAGTGCCGACAAAATGGCACAAAACTGGCAAGGAGTACTGAGACATTCGGCGACCTGACACCTAGCTCCAACAGTCTCCAAGGCGCAAACCAACTACCTTCCAACTTGGAAGGCTCAGGTTCGGAAAGGTCCAAGAGGAGAAGGAAAGCGCAACGAAGAAGAGCATGAGCTACGCGTCACGCCAACAAAGAATGCCGAAAGCCTTTACGGTTACTGGATGATGACGAAACTAGTAAGACTATTGGACATACCGGCCTTACTACAACTCAACGACGCAAAGCAATAGACCACCTAACTTGGGAGGCTCAAGTTTATGTAATAAACATAGAAAGGGGAAGCTAAGCGAAGACGAATTGTGACAAACCGAAACGTCAACATGGTCAACATCCTACTGAACTACCGTTTTCCTTTCTTCATCATAATAACATTATTGGCTCACCATCCGAGTTCAATTTTTTAGGGTTTAAAAAAAAATACCGAATACCACAGAACCATCAGATGCTGCACACAGCGGGGGCGGGGGCATATTGGATGGAAGTGGGCAGGGGGCGGGGCAGAAGTAACTCCTCCGACCAAAGGCAAAGGTCTCGGATTCATCGCTACTCATGTGCGCCAGCACGAAGGAGAAAAGAACATGTGCATCCAATAGGGAAACCTTTCTAACGGGGAGACTTTGAGATTGAGATTGAGATAGGACATAACAATAGTAAAAGCAGTGCACCGTGGACAAATGAAAATGGAGAGAACTGATATAATAATCGCATCATTAGGTACGATGACTGGGAGAGACAAGGTTTACGGTTGAGCGAAGGGATCAGAGAGGGGTAGAGGGGGGGGGGGGGGGCAGCAATATTTTTCTTGAAGGACAGTCTCTTACAAAACTTAGGACCGTGTCGTTATACTTATACAAGTTATAGGTGCACATACCGCTGCGAGAAGGGGGAGACTGTAGTCTAGAAGGGTAGGTGGGAGCTGATTCCACGTAAGTCGTTGCGACGAGGGCCCGGAGTGGGGAAATGAACGGTGAGTACATGATCTTGATTCTTGTGTTACGTGCAGCTGTATCCATGGTATCATGGTTATGATGTTCGTTTTTGAAACACATAGTCAGGGAGCCGACCTTCAAAAAAGTGGCGCTCCAGGTCGGGCGAGATGGAGTACAAGATCTCTTCAGCAATGGGTTATGGGTCTATCAGAGAAGGGCTTTCGAGTTCTTGGCCATCCCAAAGCTGTGCACGGACATCGCGAGGACGCATTTTGTTCGACGATCAAATTCACAATTGTCAAGCATTTAGGCGCAAATGTTTTTCGTTCTCAGCCGACTTCTCGGTTTGAGAAGTAGGTGCGCACGCTCAAAATTCCAAATCAGTGACTATGCGCCTGTCCAGAAGATGACGACGCTGCAAGCTTACTTTCTCAAAGCGTGACATACATTTTCATTACGATTTTGGCTTTGAAAGTGAGAATAGTATTGCCATCGTCAGGTCCACTAGTCACGAAGCATGGCGCTTCTGGACAAAAGCGCAACATAGAGTGTGTACCAGCAATAGTGCACAATAATACTCGTGCCTACTCCGGCAATTCTGCAACGCGTGCAAGCAAAGTTTCAAAAGTCTATTTCCAGGTCTGACTGAGGTCGAGTCGAGCGAAGATTCCGGCAGAGTAGGCGAGATGTTGCTTGCTGACAAGTCGGCCTCCGCGTCCCTGAGTCCTGACTGCCAGTGCCACAGCCGTATGCACCAGTGACCAGTCACCGGACGTGCAAGATCATCATCACCCATGTCGGTACTCTGCCTGGCCTATTTATCTGCTGGTGGTGTCAACTCCGTTGCAGTTTGCCAGCTTGTTTGTTCCGGTACTCGTTCTTCACTGGTTCAGGTGAGCCTAGCTGCTTTTGCACAAAATACTTTGTGGATCCTGTGAGAGATCATGTAACTCGAAAACGAGACGTTGTTTGAAACAAAGGTAGAATGACAATCACTGCCAGTTCCACATGCACTTCTGACAGGAACTACGACAGACGTCTACGTGGCAGCACCAAAGGAGAGCATGGGATATGCAACATAACAAGATAGAACATACATGCGCGCACGTGCATGTGTGCGAGCTTGTGTACACGCGCGCACGCCCACACACGCTTGCAAGCGTGTACTCACATGTGTGCGAGTGTGCATGAGTGCACACTGCACACACACGCACACACATGTGACTCTCTGTTCGCACACACACACACATACATGTGTGCGAACATGCGCGCATTCATCACACACGCGTGCGCACATACACACAGGTGGATGTGCACATGCCAATGCTCACACACACACACACACACACACACGCATACACGTGTACATGTGCACGCACACACACGCGTGCGCGCTTGCACGCACATACACACAGGTGGATGCGCACATGCAAATGCTCACACACACATACACGCATACACATGTACATGTGCACGACACACGCGCGCGCACGTGCATGTGTGCGAGCTTGTGTACACGCGCGCAAGCGTGTACTCACATGTGTGCATGAGTGCACACACACGCACACACACACACACACACACATACATGTGTGCGAACATGCGCGCATTCATCACACACGCGTGCGCACATACACACAGGTGGATGCGCACATGCCAATGCTCACACACACACACACACACACACACGCATACACGTGTACATGTGCACGCACACACACGCGTGCGCGCTTGCACGCACATACACACAGGTGGATGCGCACATGCAAATGCTCACACACACATACATGCATACACATGTACATGTGCACGACACACGCGCGCGCACACAGGTGGATGCGCACATGCAAATGCTCACACACACACGCGCATACACGTGTACATGTGCACGACACACGCGCACGCGCGCACACACACACGTGGATGCGCACATGCAGATGCTCACACGCATACATACATATAAACACACACACTCATGCACGCGCGCGTCATTATCTACGAATCTCAGAAACATGCAACATGCGGCCAGAAGTTAATCATCACCAGTGAACTTGCTGTGATTGTGGTACCAACAACATGCTGTGCAAGAACGTCACCATCATCGGCTGCTCTGAGGTAGCATTCCAGAATGGCAATTTACAAAGCCGCTGTCTAATGCCCTACTATCATCTCCACGGAGCACCAGTCGGAACCCAGGAGATAACTGCTCGGCATAGCTGCAAACATCGCAAAGGTTACAGCACTGGATGCTTCTAGTGCAACGGGTCACCCCAACCCTGTACTATACTTGCTGGTGCATGTCCGAATGTGACAACCCAATCATTAGCGCCCATGTTCTGGACCGTCACTAACGCTTCCGCCCAGGGCCTTATTACGGGCTTTTACGGTACTCGCCGATGCATGTCCGAATGTGGCAACCCGCTCAGCAGCACTACACATGTGAGCAGCAAGTGGACGTCGTTGGCAGCACAGAGCAGAGGATCGCAAACCGGATGAAGAATGGATACTGTTCTCCATGATGAAGGGATCAAAAACCGTTCAACACAGATATTGCGCTACATCGTCTTGCCTGGATGTATGCGGTGGTGCCGATGGTGGTGCCGATGCATATCGCGTCCATGACACTGTTTACATATCTGCATTCAGCCTTTGTTCACATAAATATGATGCACCGTAGCTGTAGTTTTAAAATGATTATATTCTACAGGTTACCGCCACATTTACTGATGCGTTTGCGGAAATTCCTAAAATATACTACGTCTACTACTACTCAATTTACCACACAAAGGACTGAATGAAGTAGGGAAATAATCATCCCATGATCTTCTACAATGTGAATGCTTTCACGTACGCGCATGTCATTGTGCAGCACCCGAAACTTCAACAAAACAATGATTCAAAGAGACGTTATTCAAGATAAGTCATGCATTTCCACGTTCACTGGTATAATCAAAGATTCCGTTCAAGGCAGCTGCCATGGTGTGTACCTTACCACCTTTAACACACGTTGTCAGTCCGCTCATTGACTAGCATTATATCGTTTGTAGCAGGAGTACTCTTGTTTGTAGTGAGGATCAATCTACAAAACACTATTGGTAAAAACAATCCAGAGTCACCTCGATGGAGACGGACAGTTCCTACGAGACCTGCCTGTCGACATCAGGGTCAAGTGGCAAGTCATTTAGCCGTTACGCACGACAATCTCAGGAACACCAGCCATGTCCTCCTCCGACGAACCAGCTACTGTATCACTGTATGTTACTTCAGAACTCAGAACGACACAATTATACAAACAGAATGAAAAATGCTTCATCGACGGTGTGACTTTGCGTTTCGCTTCGTGTTTCTTTGTGTTTCTCTTGAAAATCTAGCAAAATTGAGTCATTCGCATGAAAATGTCTGGTTACGTCAGCGAAACCCGCTGATTTTCCCCATTTTTCAAGCGCTGAATGGCGCAAAAACTGTGAAATCACGGCAACGAAATAGTGTTCGACGAGCGAACAAACCTCCTTGCACCGGCATTGGTGCACAGCTTCGGGACGGCCAAGTTCTCAAATCGTCCTCTAGAGACCCTTACCTACCTCTGTGCGAAGTTTCAAGTCCTCCCTCTGAAGTGGCATACCCCGAAAATAAAAAGCGTCCTACAGATTTCAGCTCCCGGACTAACACTGTCACGTGAGTTCAGCGGCGAATGAGTGAGGAGGTTGGTGCGAAAGAATTTGCCAATTTCTTTGGTGACATTTCCATCGATTTGCTACAAAAACACAACATGTAGGCTGTGCTGGTTTGTTTGCAAATTGTTGTAACTAGTAGTTGTACCGTCTTTCATTGCTATTCTTTTCACCGTGACACCGGTAGCTGCTGTGACTTCACAGGACGGTACCGCTGTGTGCTTGTCCCTGAGCTTGGGATCTGCGTATCATCGAGTCTGAAACTCTCGCTGCACATCGATATAACTAAACGTGGAAAATGAAAATGTCGAGCGGTCCATGGTTTGCTGCCATTCTGCTCGGTGTGAGCCTGCAATGGAGACTTGACGGCGTTTGCGGCCAGTTGCCCTTTCCAGCACGCCGCATGCGAATGATAGTGACTGTGGAGCACGAGTCCCAATTGCCGGAGTACGTGAACTTGCTAGAAAAGTATCGCGGTGCGATCAACATCGCTTCATCGTACTGCTACAGTGTAGGCCCTCTGGAGCCCGCCTCCAAACTGCCCGACGTGAACTTCTGCTGGAAATACTTCACCCAGCCTCTGCAGCAGCGCGTGCCCGAAATGCACATACACCCAATCATTCAGATGGGCGGTGACAATGCTGTACACAATTTTGGCAGGGCAGAGATCTTCACCAAACTGTTTGTGGCCGAGGCACTCAAGTCAAACTATTCCGGGTACTTCCTGGATGTGGAATTTCATGGGGATAAGCACTATGAGAATGCGAAGAAGTACAGAGATTTCCTGCATGTGTTTGGCAGTGGATTGCACCAGCATAACAAGAGCATGACGGTCTTGTCACGTTCTGTGGACTCTCATGCTACGCCAGCTTCCATACTGAATGTAAGAATAATACCAGCTTTTGTGTGCGTGTATGTGTGTGTGTGTGTGTGTGTGTGTGTGTGTGTGTGTGTGTGTGTGTGTGTGTGTGTGGCGGGGGGGGGGGGGGGGGGGGGGGGGCAAAGTTCCGGCTATCTGCCTTCTGTTTGTCCACCCGTACGTCTGTGTGTATGTCTGTCTGTTTGGTCATCTGTGTGAGTGGCTGCCAGTCTACCAGTCTGCCTACATGTTTGACTCATCTGTGTTTTCAGTGTTCACTGTTCACCCATCAGCCCCGGATCACATGCACCTTAATTAATCCCACCGGCCTACCCCCCATTACACTTGCCCTCCATCCTTGTCTCAACACATCAATGCATTCGCCTATCCAGTTACCCACCCACTCGCCTATCCAGTTACCCACCCGCTCGCCTATCCAGTTACCCACCCATTCGCCTATCCAGTTACCCACCCATTCGCCTATCCAGTTACCCCCCCCCCCCCGCTCCCCTATCCAGTTACCCACCCGCTCGCCTATCCATCCACCCGGCATCTACTTACGATATCTCTATACATCCCCCCCCCCCCCATCCACTCATCTAGTCAGCCACCCACTCACCGATCCATCTGTTACCCATCCCTTCCTCCAGCTACCCGGCCATACATCCATCCCTTGGCTCCAAGCATCTATCCATGCATGCATGCACCCACCCATCTATCAATCCATCCATCCGTCCACCCATCCACTGATCCATCCATCTATCCATCCATGCGCATCCACCCATCCATTCTATCCACCCATCCACCTATCCCTCCACACACACACCCTATCTATCCATCTGTCAATCCATCCATGCATCCACCAAGCCACCACCCATCTATCCACCCAGCTGTTTACTGACCAGCTTCTCGACTAGGCTCTATGCGCAAGTTCATATCATTGAACTGATCACCACACAAACACTAATCCTTTACACTCAAATCATGGCTTGATACAATCGTATTTTGTCTCCCACTATCTGTGCATCATTGACCTGTTTTCTTTGTTGTTCAGGTAATTGGTGGTCTGGATGGATTTGTCGTGGAGTGTGATAGCCATGAGGTGAAGCTCATTGATGAGTTCGTTAGAGCCATGGGTTATCGCTTCAAACCACGCGGTGGAGCACTACTGTACCCGCATGGCGAGCTGAACAGCAAGTGGAGCATGCAAACTGTGCTTACGGTGAGTAGCGGTTGATATGGTTATCTGTCGCCTGGATTTGTTACGCTGAGTGTTTTCATAGTGTTGGAATTGTCGCAACCATCATCATTTCAACTGCTCTAGGATGTTTCAAGTGCGTATATTGCAGGGAATGCAGTTATTGAATCCGTATACAGTCAGACCTCACTTATCCGGTCCTCTTTTATCCTGATCCCTCGCCATTCGGAAGAAATCGTCGGTTACCGATTTACAGCATATGTCATGCATGCATACAGTATGTGTGTTCGATTATCCGGTTCCCTCGCCTACCCGGATATTTTTGTGTGGAAAACGAATGTGTGCGGTTAAGCGAGGTCTGACTGTACCAGGTGCTAGTACACAGATTCAATCTGTATACTTGTATCTGATATGCAGATTGAATCTCAGGTAAACTGCACAGCCAATGAGTACAGAGGCATCCTGACGGTACAGCGACAAGGGGGGGGGGGGGGGGGTAGTACACTATGGCACATATGCACTGGTCTGCAGTACAATGGACTGCAGGGCAATGGGAACTGCAGCCAAGGCCAATTTTGTGCTTCACTATTACTACACGCAGTTGCATATTTTAAAAGCTCTGTGTGTGTGTGTGTTTTTAATGCCATTGATGCAATGTGAGTTTACACTTGCTGACACTGCATAACTTCCTTCCCCTTTCTGCTGCTGCAGGGAATGTCAAGGTCCGGTTGTCAGGAGCTGGCGTTCTTTGCCAACTTTCAGGACATGGGCGCTGTGATGCTTGACGAGATGAAGAGGTGGTTGGAGGGTGCATACAACATTACAGTTCCAGCACCATAGGGCTGAGGGTGCTGACTCTATAGCTTTTTCTTCCTTTTCTACAAAATCCACCTATCATCAGAAACTGAAGTGGATAAAGGAGTGTGGTGGTCGGGCCCATTAATTAAGCTCAGCCAACCAGACGTCTCAGCTTCATAGCTCGCTATCGATCACACCGCATTATGTGGTGTCTGCAGTGACTTACATTATGACACAGACACTGTGACACCGATCTGCCCGCGTGCCTCTAACATGTGAGCATCAACTGAATCCAGCTGACTGAGTGTGTTACATCATGGTGCCCATCCTTAGTACAGTACCAGTGCCGGTATATCATCACGGTACTGACGGCACTATGAGCCTGGTGATCAATGTTGTAACAGCCACTGCACTGTGGTGACTAACAGTTATAACCGAGTACCATCTTACAGCTAATTGGAGTAACGTGGTGTTTTTGCAATGCATTTTATCTTTCAAAATGCTCATCCGGGCCGAGTAAGTTGATTGATTGAGATTATTTTTACTTCCACAGCCAAACACTGATACAGGCGTTTCTTTTGCAGAGCCCATGCAGGCTGGCTTTGGCAAACCCGTGTCGCAGACTCGCACCCGACACGGTTAGATGATCAATGCACACCAGTGGGATGGGTAGCAGATGTGTACACGCGGAATACCTCTGTGTTATCAGTGACTATTGATATACGTGTGTTGATATTTCGGCTTCATGCCGAGGTCTTCTGTAGTTAGGACAGCACCGTAATCCAGATGTTAAAAGTATGCATGTTGACCATGCAATTCTAGTTTTACCACAGGTTCATTGTAGTATATGGAGCGTGGGTGGTGTTGTGCTCTATCCAGCAGAGCTGGCGTGTTACCAACTTAGGCTGGCTGATACATGTACTCAATAGTCTGTACAATGCTTGTAGAGAGAGCAATAAATACGCTTGTGTTGACGGATACTTTGATATCTCCATTTATCTCCTTATCATTGATTTCAAACACATGAATTCTCCTTATTTACCCGAGGATTAACGTGCTATCCAATATTATGGTTTTATCATCAAATCTTACAACTGATAATTTCCAAGAATACCGGACATCCTGGTACGCTGTGAGGAAGAGAACACTGCCGGAGCTGCAGGGTTGCGTCCAGTTTGTAATTGAAGAATGGTGGCTGGGGAACGTTTGTGCACAGTTATACCAATATGCATTACTCCACGCATGCAGTATATCGTGATATTGGAGGGCGCATTGCCAATTTCGCTCAACAGTAGCAACGAACCAGCACACTGGCCGTTTCCCTAAAGCCTTCATGCAGGAAGGGAATGCACCCGGCTGAAAAACAAGTGTGCTCGTTGGTTGAACCATGCCGTGCACAGTCGCGCTTTCAATTGTGGGAGATGCCAGCCGGAAAGTGAAGGAGGACCCTATCATGCTATGTCGTTTTGGCTTAAAAAAACATGCTGTTCAGGAGCTTGCCCCAGTACAGTAGTGGACCAGCCAACACTACGTTCCATATACATGTTTTTAACTACCAAGCAAGGCTTCTGTGTATATTCCATATACATGTAGATACAATGACAGTGCGCACCGGAATCCAATGGCACACGGGAACTACATGATTTACACGGACGGATGAATATTCCATGGGCCTAGGATTTAACCTCATCCACTCAGTGATAGAAACACTATAAATATAATATTATTATTATGACGTTACATTTCATTATTTGGCCATCACAGCGCTCATAATTAGCTAACCAGCTCATGTGTCATGCAATGCGAAAACGACTTGGTATCAATTTAATTTACACACAGAGTCACTCCCGCAGCACTCACTTCAAATCATTCAAGTTCAAAGGCTTAGCACCCGCATCATTCCAGGTAATCTTCGTCGACATCGCTGCCATCGTCTTCAACGCCATTTTGTCCTACTGTGTCCGCCTCGGAATGTCGGCGGCCTCCCTCGTGGCTTAGTACCCGCGTTAGCTGTGCTGGGCGACCGCTGGCTGCCAGGTCTTCGCGTGATCGGGATATCGCAGATGTAGTGCTCTGTTGAGTAGCAACACCAGCGCCAGCGGCGCCATCAGCCAGCGACACACCTAGCTGAGACAGTCCGGGTTTGGCAGTCCGCCGATGGAATGCTAATCGGAACTCCTATGTGTTCACACACACACACACACACACACACACACACACACACACACACACACACACACACGTGCACACACACACACACACACACACACGTGCACACACACACACACACACAAAAACAGGGAAATTCTCTTCAAGTGTACTGTGGAAACTGCAAGGGTGTAGCTAGTCATATCAGTATACTGTAAACCAGGAAATCTTAGAGACAGGGAAACAGTTTCCTCGCAGACAAGAATGCGATAATACTCAGAAAAGGACACATTTCAGGCTCTCTAAGAACATCCTGAAAGTTTTCCAGTTTCACTAGTACACGTATACAGTGTACTCTCAAGCTTTATCGTCAAGTAAAACCTTTCGATTTTCGCGAATGGATGTGAATTTGCAATTTGTGTTCACGAGAGCCTTTGAGAGCAGTATTATCTGCATCTTTATACACAGCATGGTTAATAGGTTATGTACGTCTACTGTCAAGTATGTTCATTATCTCTAATAAAAGCACGGTCCTTATTTTTTCAATGTACCTCCGCCCCGTGCTATTAATGGAGACGTTCCTTTATTGGAGACTGTTCCATTATTATTTCAACCTCATTTCAGAGGTTGGTGCACCGCGCGCGATTGCGCGACTGACCATGATAACATGTACATGTGCATGCAATGTGCGTACATATACTACCGTACGGTGTCCTTTATTGGAGGCCCGGGTGGTTTTCAGAGCACTTCACAGTGAGCACTTCACACAGGTGTGCCTATAATGGAGACTGAGCACTTTATTTTTTGAATGCCGCCGCAAGGTGTTCTATTATTGGAGACGTGCTAATATCGGAGACTGTGCTTATATTGGAGATAATACGGTATGTTCATTATCTACTGGGCTGAGGCACTGCACCAACCCATCCAGTCATGACTTGCACGCAAACGAATTCGTCAGAAATGGAACCCGCCACCTCTCGATTGGAAATCGACTGCACATACAACTGTGCTGTATGCCGTGTGCGGGGACACGCAGATGCAGTGACATTCACAAGGATCCAGCAGGCCACTGCAAGGAACAGCCTCGTGTAGTGTGGCACGGCCTACCTCAAGGTATGTCTCCTTGTCTACACCGTTCAGATTTTGAAACGCCAGCGAGCAAAGCTCCAAAGACTTTGCATGGAATGTCATACAGGACATGAGGTAGTCACCAAATATGCTCTGTAGGTCACATGATAGGAATGGAATGCACAAGAACATGCACTCATGAACAAATGTACATGTGCAGCGCCGGCAGAATAAACAAGGCTGATTCGCCTCATTAGTGCCCTTATTGTTCTGTGTGTTAAGCTCTGCCTCCGCGGTGTTGAGCACTGTCAGCACACTGGGTGCATCCTCCGGCAAATGCACATGTACTTGTGCAGGGGCGTCGGAAGGTATACTAGGGTGGCACGGTCAGTCATCTGAAGTACAGTTTACTCGTGGGGAAAGGGACGGCGGAGCCAAAGTATTTGGAATTTTAGAGTCCAAGAGTCCAGATCAGTGTATTTTATTGATTCACGGGGTACTTGGGGCAAAAGTGGTACGGTCAATACCGTAGTGACCGTACCGTGTCCACCGCCTGTGTTGTGTATATTACACATTCACAGCAGAACGAGAGAACTTGTTCTGGATCCTCGCTATGCTTGTTCCTTACCTAGGTTGTCATACAAACAGCTCATTTGGCTGAGCTACATGTACAGTAGCTGAGCTGGTGATCAGCACGTTGTACACAGTGTACCGCATGCTGCCACCAACACATTGTTTGCTGCTGAAGAGCCGGACCAATCAAAACCTGATTCCGGCGGTGCAGATGTACTTGATTGCGTACCTCATACATTCAAATGATCATTCAATGTCGTTGTGATGCCTGCCTAAACAGTTATGATCCCCCCCCCCCCCTCCCCCTGTCACCAGCAATATGTCATGTGAGTTGGGAACATGCACTGCACATAAGCAGATACGAAAGTAAGCGCTTTGGCATTGCTTCAGGAAATATTCTTCTATCCACAAAGTCCTCAATGTCTCAATGGGCAGAGCGTCCTTACAAAGAACGCAGAACACGGTTTTGCATGCTAATCAAATGTGACGCTATGTGATCCTGAGGCAAAATAGTTTTAACATCCATCTGCCATACAGAAAATAGGCTTTGGTTGCATGAGCGGGACATACCTTGGCATCCTTTAGCTTTTGTAGTTCGTACACTCGCATGTGTTCCTCGGCTTTCTTGGACACTTGCGCAGCCTCGGCACGAGCAGTTTGCATCTCCTCCAACGCTCGGCCAATCTTGCGTGTATCGTTTGGGTGATCGCGGCGTACTTTGTCGTACACCTTCTGTTTGCTGATCTCTTTCTCGCGGGCCGGTTTCCGGTCTTTTAGGCCGTCCTAGACACACAGATTAGAAAGGCCAGATGTCAAAGACCCCTCTCATATTGCAGGGCCGCCGGAACCGGTCCGGTTGGTCAGGTTATTACCGGGCCAACATTTTAACCACCAACACTTGTTTACTAAAAGGTGTTTTATTGAACGCACAAAGCAATGATGATACGAATGCAAGGAGAGCAAAGAATTCAACAGGTGAACAGCAAAATTGAATGATTAAAATGTGAATGGCAACACTTCTTTACTACCATGGAGGTCATGTGTACCCGCCATATCCTAAACAACTTAGTATGAAAGACACTGAAACTATCGGACCAATCAAAAACTGCTTCCGGCGGTTCTGTATAGAAGTTCTCTTCACATAGTTTATGTGTAGTCTCTCCCCCCCCCCCCCCCAAATGACCCAGTACTTCGACAACAGATCAAGTACCAGGGTATTGGGCTTGCTACCTCACAACCAATAGACATGAAAGCGCTGACGTTTGGGTCCACATCAATGTTATCACACATGATGCGTGACCCCCACCAGATACTGTATGTGCACTAGTGCTTTGCCATGGTGGTCACTGGTCGGGATGGATGCAATTTGACACAGACGTTGTTATTTGTTGACTTCTGACATGATCACTTCCAAGACCTATTAAAAAAATAACAATCACTCTTGAATGAAAGCTCCTCTCGCATAGAGGCACCTTTAATTAAGGTTGACCGTCAATGCCTAGATAACGGCTCCCAGCAGCTGCTACTTAAAGGGGAAGTTAAGGCAAAAAAATAAAAATTCACCAGTTGTAGTCTTCGGGGTGCTGAGTCGAATGGTCTTGGTCCGAGAAAGCTGAGACGCTCCCTTCCTACTTGAATCCCAATCGAACTCGCGCACTTCCACCGAAACTGGGTGACTGCGCCCTACTAGATGGGGATTTGTATGCAAAATGTCACTAAAAGCGCCGTTTCGCTCTTATAAAAGCACGGATGACCGCGATTAGCCCATATGTTGTAGTCTTTTGGACGCTGAGTCGACTGGTTTTGGTCCGAAAAGGCTGCGATGCAGCGTTCCTCCTTTATTCCCAATCGAACATGGTTGAACAAGTGGTCACGTGCTCCTGGGTGCCCAAATCACCTGGTCACCACGCCAGCAGGCGACAACTTTCACACCAAGGTTCAACTCGAGTTCAACTCGAGTGACAGGACTGCACCCAAAAAAGGTCAAACAGGCTAGTAAGTTGTTCCCTGCAGGCACGGTGACCAGCTGACTGGTGTACGCAGGAGCACGTGACCGCTTCTTCAACCATGTTCGATTGGGAATAAAGGAGGAACGCTGCATCGCAGCCTTTTCGGACCAAAACCAGTCGACTCAGCATCCAAAAGACTACAACATATGGGCCAATCGCGGTCATCCGTGCTTTTATAAGAACGAAACGGCGCTTTTAGTGACATTTTGCATACAAATCCCCATCTAGTAGGGCGCAGTCACCCAGTTTCGGTGGAAGTGCGCGAGTTCGATTGGGATTCAAGTAGGAAGGGAGCGTCTCAGCTTTCTCGGACCAAGACCATTCGACTCAGCACCCCGAAGACTACAACTGGTGAATTTTTATTTTTTGCCTTAACTTCCCCTTTAACATGATGGCATGGGGTAGCTCACCTTCGCTAACTTGCAAGTCTTCTCATAGTGGGTCAGCGGATGGATTACTTGAGTTTCAACGCGCGAAACCTGCAAAGCCACAATCAGAGAAAGAGAGGGAGGGAGGAGGGGAGGGAGGGGGGGGGGGGGTGAATCATCACTGTTTAGAGGCAGGTACCACAACAATTCGTAACTAACGATCGTTTTGATCGGAGCAGAATGACATCATGATGCGGTCTTGGGCTGGAGAATAGCGTCGCCGAAATCCTGCTACATGTACCCAGCAATGCATGCAGACACAGGTCACATGCTCACACTAGTAAAAAATGCTTTAAAACCTTTCAAGTTAAAACATGCTACGAAATCCTGTAGTCCACTCATCCTGATTACCCCAATCTCCATCACGATGGGGGATTGGGGGTGCGTTGAGTCCAAACACACAGAGTGTCTAAAGAATAGCGGTGACCGTGTAAGATATCCGATCAAGTACTAGTACGGTGTATTTGTCACAGTGCTGCAGACATAGAAACCCTAGTTTTGACTTTATTGGACAAACACAGGTGAGTAGGAAACATTATGTACCCAGTCTGCAAAGCCCAATTTTCTTTCCTGGTATTCAGCATATTTTCGCCCATTTATATATGCCTTTCGTTCAGAACAGAACCGTGACACGGGTTTGTGCGGGGTATTACAGTGCAGAGGTGTCGGACGGTGTTTTAGGGTGGTATGGCTAGCCATATGACGTACAATTATACTTGGCCTTCGGGTGGTTCCACGGAAAAGTTCCGAAAATTAGAGCCCAAATCAGTGCATCTTATTTGATTTACGGTGGACCTGGGACACAGAGTGATACGGCCAACACCATAGTAACCGTAGCGTGTATGACGTCTATGTAGTGCTACTAAAGCCATGCATGAAAGGTTAACATATTCCGGTGACGGGTACTCACATGGGCTTGCCTGTGGTCTTCCACAGCTGCAAGACACTCACACACGGCCTGCAGGTTCTCTCTCATCGACGGCAGTTCAGTGTCGGCGTACTTTGCAAAGTTCTCCACCAGTACATCACCTGTACAGCAATGGTGACAGCACCATACAACATAATTATTTCATTGCCGACTGGTTAGAGCACTCTTGCTAACCTTTTGAGAGCCTATGTATGCATAGAATTCTATGCATTCAATTGTGGGACTTCAACAGGACACAACTCAGTCAAATCTAGCTCAAATTCAACGATCCAAATATCCGTGAAGCCTCAGCCCTTCTTCAGACCAAATATCCATGTCAAAGAGAAAACTATCAGCGTTTCCAGACTCATGCTCTGCTCTCCTCCCCCCCCCCCCCCGCTCTCCAAAGTACATTCACTCTGTATTTAGATACCGTAGTGTCTTGTATTAAAGCCTATCCCAAATAGAAGCCTGTTTTGAATAGAAGCCTGACTTTTAAGACAAGCTGTCGGCAAATACGCCTGGTTTCAGTCTTGACGCGCATAGAAATACCAGTCCTGCTTTGAATAGAAGCCTAGCCCTGACATTGGCTTCTACAGGAAAAAACCCGGCTTTAATACGCGACATTACGGGTACATAAGAATACCCTGCTTCACTGCAATGGACTGAACAAGAGCAGCCCGACTCACCCGCATTCCTCAACTTGGCAATCTGTCGCACCACACCAGCCATGTCCTGCGTAGCTGTTGCAAATGCCTTCTCCACTGACAATATCCTCTCCCTGGACATCTCCGTCTGCTGGTCAAGGCTGGAGGGAATGCAGAATAGACAGAAGGGGAGAGGAATATTGAAAAAATGCTCCGTGCATACATACCTCAATACCTCCCCCCCCCCCCCAAAGTACTGTTCAGCGCCGAAGAATGGAGCGCTGAAGAACGGCCAGGCTAGAATTTCATCAAGCACAGCACAGCATACCAATGTATACACGGTGACTCAACTGTGCATAGACTGTAGTACATGAAAATAAGAAAGGTCTAGGCTAGAAGGCTGACCCCCCCCCCCCCCCAGTTCTTCAGCGACTGACAGTGCCATGCCCATCATCAAATACAGTGTGTGCCGGTGTATAGGTACTAGGTGTATGCTTGGTCAGTCAACAGTACATGTATCAAGCTACGGCAAGAGTAGATCTACTACTCTTTGTGATCATCATTGATATTGCTCATATGCAGGACAGACCATGCATGGAATCTGAACGTGCCATGACCTCTCCAGAGTCCAGACCTTACGCAGCTATTCCACGTACATGTACAGTCACAGGACATTCACAGACAGTGTCGCATCAGTTATCATTGGGTATCACCGTGTGCGTAAAATTCAGCCTTTGGAGATCTACTAGGTGAACGAAGTTATTCACAAGATCATGCTGGTGAGTGTGTGTAGGTCAGGCACCCCGTCCGTGAGGGGGAAGGGGGGGTGTGCACTCCCCCCCCCCCCCCCAAATCAAATCTTTCGACCTTTGTTCTGCAAGTGCAGGTTTAGGCCTGAGAGATCACACTTCAGACTCAGTGCATTCTGTAAAGCCAGAATTGAGTGCCAGTGTGCTAAGTAGAACCTGTCAAGGCGACCACCTGCCTCAGAATGGCACTGTAACCAGGACCAAGGGATGCTCTTGGCAGCCAAACGACCCTGAAAAAGGCGACCACCTGGCAACGGAGACCACATTTTGCAGGTCCCTTGAGCAGCGGTCGTCTTAGACAGCTTTCACTGTACAGTTACGTAACTAGCTGCAGGTGCAGACCTACATCTACATGTAGGCATGGGCGGGTAATGCTAGCTATTTGCTGCGATAATGCTAAAGGCAATGCTATAATGCCACTTTTAATGCTCACACTACTCCATAATGCCAGTTTGAAAGTTGGAAAAGTCGATTTAAGAAGTCCGTCTTGGATCAAGGCCAAAGCGTAGAAAAAAAACTTAAACGGCAGTGAGCATGTTGTCTACAACAATCCACTGAGAAGGTTGATTTGCAACGTCAAGTCTCCGGACGAAGCCCGACGGGTTCAGATGCACGATTTTCGGAACTGGACCTAGCCAGCTTCATGCATGACACGGTTGTCGACCGGCAATTATGCTTGTAATGCCAATTTTGCATGCGAAATGGTGTTATAATGCCAGCATTATGCCACCTGGAAAAAAGGGACTATAATGCCAGCCATAATGCTAGCATTACCTGCCCATGCCTACCTACATGTACAGCAGGTGCACTGCAATTATTTCTGTACAAACCACCAGGTCGAACTGCTTGAAGATGCATCCCCTAGAAGGTGGCCCAGCTATGCCACTGGAGTCTGGAGGGTGTAGTAGATCATGTTGGTGACTGAGGTGTGTAGAACATCATATTGCTGTACAGTGGCTGTACTTACTGTCCTCGTGTCTCGGTGCCATCCTCTATTCCCGTGCCTGATGCGCCCGTAGCAGCCATCACTGTATCTACTACCCTCTTGAGCGCTACCCCGCCCGTTGAATCGCTACACAGTGCACTAACCCGTACTCTAGCGGGGTGGGAAAGGAGCTGTCCACGGAGCGTGTGTTCTCGTTCAGACTGACTGCAAGGAACTCTTTACACCGCTCTCTGTACAAATGACTAAAAATCCAGTTATGATCGAAGCAATTCTACACGTTTTGTGCTGACCTGAGCCCAGTCATATGGCAGTATACCAGACAGGGCTGAGGCGCTAGGCAACACTGCGGCTTGGCGTGTAAGATGATGGGAAAATGCTGTGAATGATGGTCCTCACTGTTCAGTGCCAAACACTGAGTCCTCTATCTCCTCTTTCACTCATTACCCTTTGCAGCACTCACACAATCCTCGACATTATTATTTTGGCAGCTTTATTGGGTCGCTAGCTGCTTTGACATGCAAAAGCAACCGGGGATTCAAATAAAAAAGTTGAGAAGCGAAAAGACCGCGCGCGCTCCATGGTCCACGTGATGACGTGAGTACACTGTAGTACAGTGTGATCTGGTGATGCTGTGACGCGGTGTCTCCTCGACGCCATGGCAACAGCTGTCGTGCTGCATGCGCTGCAACAGCTAGCTATCGAGAAATTCGAGTATCGTGCTTCTTGAAGCCTTCTTCCCTTTCCCAAAGATGCTCACCACTTTTTTCGCAACTTACTTTTGCGTTGTTCTGGAAGAAATCGCAACTAACGTGTAACAATTTACGTGATACTTTCGCAACTACAATGTAGCTACTTACTTTCTTCATTTTCGCGAACTACTAGTACTTCGCAACCGTGAGCAGAGAAGCGCCTTGGAGGAGACCATTAAAAGTGCTCGTGATACTCCGCTTCAACAAGAAGCCCTGAAACATTGCATCAAATCATCATTCCAAGTGTACTTCCCGAAGAACATGTATGTACAATGCCATGTACATGACTGTACATGGCATTGTACATACATGTACAATATACTTCTGCATTATCAAGATGATTGTACTCTTGGTATTGTCACTATTACGTGGCAGCACTTAGCAATGCTGCTATGATTATAATGAACGAATGGTGTTTGCGAAGCGCTAACAAAAATAATTTCTAAGTCTGTTCAATTTCCATAGCCAGCATGTTTTACGATCACAATAGTATACTATCAGTCTGTGAATAATATTGATTCACACATGTACATGTACATGTACTTGTAATGTACTTCAACTTGTACATGTATGCGCTTCAAAATAGCCATGACTTTACTTAGGCAGTTATCATGGTTATGCTAAGCCACAGTAGACTAGACTACAGTGTTGCCTAGTATTGCCGCTGCTGTTTTGCGTGTCACAAGTTTTGGGGTCATTATAATTATGCACAAGAACTCGCTCATTTTGAGTTGCGGTATCAGCAACCTTGGCTTTGGCTAGGTTTGGCTAGGGGTGGGTCATGGTGGACTCGGATCTAAAATTAAAAATACAATCATTGAAATAGACAGATCCAAGCATGCAGTCCAAATAATAATTATGTACCTGACATAAGAATGGGTTTATGCACAAAGCCAATTGCTCGAAACCTACTAAACAATCAGCTCATGTGATAACATTGCACGCCACTGACACTGACGTTTTACAACTAACTGGCTTTCAGCTCTAGCAAATCTTGGATGCACACTTCAACAGCCTTCCAACTTGGAAGGTTCCAAGATATTATGATAACATAGGTTTAGGAGGAGAAGATGAGCGCCACCAAGACAAGCACGAGCCGAAAGTCTCAGCTGTGAAGGACGTCGTTGGCGGGTGTACATGCATGTCGACGACGATACTGGCAAGACCATTGGACAATGCGGTCAAACCACGAAGTTGGAAGGCTGTTGGAGTGCGCATCCAAGATGTGCTAGAGCTGATAGCCAGTTAGTTGTAGAACGTCAGTACCGTCGGTCAGTGTCGCGCAATGTTATCGCACGAGCTGATTGTTTAGTAACTGGTGGTGTTAGTGGACATTACAGCGTAACTTGTAGTTCCTTTGTCCTTTTTTTCTTTTCTATAAATGTATCCTTGGCTCTCCATCCGAGTCCATTCTTGCACACTCAATGTAAGTGTAACATTGAACCAAAACTTTGTTTAAGCTACATGTGCATCTGCTACCTAGTTTCAAGAAGCCATGGCTGGTTAAAATCGCCCGCATCACATGCTTATTGGCACTATGTCATCGTGATTGTGAAATAATAATAATAGAAGTCCAGGCAATGATCATGTACAGGTACAGGCACATCATACTACATAGTAGCCTCATGAGCAGGCTCCAGGCTCGTGCAGGCACATTGGTAAATTGGTACATTGGTACCGGTGTTCGAGGCAATCTGAATCACAGTCCCAGCGTTGGACATTCCACGCCTGTTCCGGACAATCGAAGTCGACTTTATCTGATGGAAGCTCAGAGGGTACCCTGGATCGAGCACTGATATTGACCTCTCTCTCTCTCTCTCTCTCTCGATCTCTCTCTCTCTCTCTCTCTCTCTCTCTCTCTCTCTCTCTCTCTCTCTCTCTCTCTCTCTCTCTCTCTCGGTCTCTCTCTCTCTCTCTCTCTCTCTCTCTCTCTCTCTCTCTCTCTCTCTCTCTCTCTCTCTCTCTCTCTCTCTCTCTCTCTCTCTCTCTCTCTCTCTCTCTCTCTCTCTCTCTCTCTCTCTCTCTCTCTCTCTCTCTCTCTCTCTCTCTCTCTCTCTCTCTCTCTCTCTCTCTCTCTCTCTCTCTCTCTCTCTCTCTCTCTCTCTCTCTCTCTCTCTCTCTCTCTCTCTCTCTCTCTCTCTCTCTCTCTCGGTCTCCGATCTTTGTGGTTCGGGGAAACGGGGACTGGATCTGTCTCCATATTTAGTGCGAGAGGCCTAGGGAATCGGGGAAAGGTGAAGACCGGAGATGGTTGGGGGTAGGGGCATGGCACCGCTTGAAGTGAATCATAACTAGTTAAGCTGAAGCTGAATGCTGAGGATAGAGATATGTAAAGGAGTGGAGGAAACCACTACTCATGGTAAGTGTCCAGGTGAAGTGTTCCAGCTCGGTGCACCGGTCCTGGACATCTTGACGTAAACAATGTGCAAGTCCAGCATGCTGGCAATGTTGCGCTCTGCAAGTCTGTACTGTGACTACTGTCCATCCTGTACATACATGTACAGTACTGTTGTAACATAGTCCGATCATCTACCTTTTGAGTGTTCACGAGGTCTATGTGTAGCCTGCGACATGGACAGTCCTTACAAGCTGAAGAGCTCCACTCAGACACCGATTGCTCTTGCGCCCCTAACCAGGTTAGGGAAACACCAACGGTACATGTTATGGTGTACATCAGTGCAATAGTCTAGTATGCAAAACATTGTAAAGTCTTCGGTTCAGTACAGTTCCTCGAACAACTACGCGCACTAGCAGTAGCACTCTGATCTGGGCATCCAAGGCATGCACAGATTACTGAAGAGTGGCACAATCACAATCATAATCATTCACTCCGAATCCGGGCCGATGTTTCGCAACTACACTTCGCCGCAAAGCCGATAGTGGCACATTTCTGACCGGCCCACACCCGGGCTGTGTGGCATGTGTGCAGTGCGTGCATTTGCAGTACTGTTGCAGTTGGCAGTGTTGCACTCTAAGTCTAAGTCACACAAGCCACGCATCTAGACATTGGCTTTCCTACATTGTATGTACATAGGTATGTGCGGCACGTTACATAATACCAATCTCATGTCATGCAGTCTATAATCACTACTGTATGTAGTCCTGGGTGTGAAGCATGCAAGATCCGAAACGCCGGTAGCTACAGAATGTAGGCATGGCCCCGAAAGGCCCGGAGCATCTAAAATTAGCTGGATATACTAGTAGTAGTAGGACGAAAGACACCAAAGGAAATATCTTACCACACTGTATCTGCTTGGAGCTTCTGAGTCTTCTGAGTCGATGTGTTTAGCAGGAGGATGAAACACGCCATCGACGGCACCCATCAGGTGTAAACTGTTGTTGTCGCTGCAACTATCTGAGCTTACCTGAAGTGCTGGTGAAATAGCGATCTATGTAGACAATTCATTTCAGAGAGTCGGGATCCGGGAGTGCGGTTTGCTAATAAGATGTCAGCTCAGTTTTGTCATAATCACGGAGTAGCTTTCCTGCTTATTGTCGTTGTGAGCATCACAACTGCCGCGTCAGCGTCGCTGGATGGAAAGAAACTGCAGACAGTGAAGGCGAGAAGAAAGCGTACGCTGATCACGGAGCACGATTCCTTACAGTACGTGAGAGAACTCTGCCAGTGGAGTGAGGTCCTGGACGGTGGCTGGAAGCGAGCAAAGCATCGGAAGCGTGACGACACCACATCAAGTCCACAACCGCAGCATGGTATGGTGTCCTAGCCCAGTACTGCAGTACATGCTCACTGTCTGTAGCTACACGAGATGTACTACAGTGCAGAAGTCAGAAGGTCTGACCAGGGGGAGGGGCGGGACATTCGTATATAACCAAGGTTGATGCGCATTCTCTTAGCACTTCTCATGGTTCGAATGAGATGTCATGTTTCTCATTCCATTATTTAGTACACGCCTTACTCGGGTTACCGTCACATTCGTGCAACAAAGTCAGGCACTCCGTCTGCATGTGTATGGATGTATGCCAGGAGTCGCCCTGGCCTCACTGAGTCAGCAGGAGGCAAATCCATCAGACTCCCCACTTTTAAATGTAGTTGGGGATGGATGAGGTCGGTTCTACGATGGATTGCCGAAATCAGTTCACAGAACGACAGTTCACCAATTGACTCTACCTCGAACGGCGATTCACAGCACGACATTTCACCGAAAAGCATGCCTCACCGAAAAGACAATACACTGAATCACATTCACAGAGAGCTTTCCACACCGAAAGACATTTCACAGGTGCCTCTTTGACCGAATGATCAGTTCACGGAATTAAACCTTGGCACACTGTTGAAATCGGCTTTGATGTGATTGGGGAATGTAGTTACGAGGTTGCAGAACCGTTTGTAGGCGATTCTAACATAGCACTGTCCCTGCTTAGGTACAGTATTGCCCGCACCCGATCGTTCAAGGCTTTCGAGCATGCTCCGCTCCTTTCCACCAACCAACCAATCCCTTGCAGTCTAGTTCGTCTTTTCGGTCGCACCTCCATGGCAATACATCGCCTCGTCATGTCTTCGCTTCTCAACCGTGTCCTTTTGTAGCCGTGTCCTTTTTCTATACATCCACAGCCAGTGCGGTTCCATAGACAGTAACGGCAGCACCAAGTTATACCGCCAGCGAAAACACATGAAGCAATTGTTCTATGCTGAATCAAAATACCTACTACTAGTACTTCCATGAAGTAGCAATCACCAAACTATGCTTTATAATGGCCAAGTCCCACTGAACATATCATAAGCCGCCTGATGATCGTGTTCCACAAGAAACTCTGAGTTGCGACAGATCTGTAAACCTCTGCTGTGCCTTTTTGTGAAGTATTTTTTTGAAGTAGTTTATGCGACATCTCCTGGCTCGCCCTACAGTCCATTCATTGGAAACTGGTACCCTAACGTTTTGGTGTCTCTCCCACATACATATGGTTGTAGATATATTATGTATGGCGTGAAAGCAACAGTACACCCTGCATTGTGTGACCCGTGCAATTACTCCTTGCCACATTTGAGGCCAGAAATGTCCAAGAACAGGGAAATAGAAATTCAGCTAGGTTTTACAAAATTAGGACAGGTATGCCATGGGAAAATGTATGGAGAAGCAAATCTCAAACCAAGATTTTTGAGATTTGAAGTGGATCTTTGACCCTCAATTCGGCCCAAATCGGACTTTCAAAAGGCAGCAGGACTACCTCCGATGAATGGACTGTAAGGCTGTCAATAGTGAGAATGAGTTTATCATGCACATACAGTACATGAGACACCACATGCAGTGAGAGCGGAAAAAAGGCGTATGTAATCAAGCACGCTCAGGAGGTCATGATGGCTGAATCTTGCCCGAGCCTGCAGCCCAAGGGCCGTAGGCCCGAGGGCTGCAGGCAAGGGCAATATTCAGCCATCATGACAGACAGAGCGTGCTTGATTTGATTTCTTACAGCGCGAAGCAACATACCGTAGAATCCCGCGGATAAGCCCACCCGCGTATAAGCCCATGCCCGCGCATAAGCCCAGGGTTTGTTCGAACATCACTGGGCTTCATTGTACAAGCCCATGGGCCTAGGTCATACCGAGAGTCCACAAATTATGGACTCTTGGCCATACCATGTACATAGTACATGCACACTATAGTTTTTTTCGTAAATTTCAGCACAATCATCGGTTGTTTTTGTTTGCACAGTGGTTTTCAGCAATGTACTTCTCACTTCCTTGATACTTTTCAATAGCACAACTTGGTGTCGGCGTATAAGCCCATGCCCGCGTATAAGCCCATGTTCTCGTATAAGCCCACCGAAATGTCTCTGTGTGAAACAGATAAGCCCATGGGCTTATCCGCGGGATTCTACGCTACTAGGGAAGGTCAAAGGTTGAAAGGTCGAAAAATTATTCCTGAGATGACGTCAAACGGTCCTAACATTCCCGAAATGACGTCAAACGGTCCTAAAACTCCCGAAATGACATCAAACGGTCCTGATGGCCTGATTATGCCCGCGGCGGGAAGATGGCCTAGCCATGGCCCCGGCAACGATCACGTAAGAAAGCCAAATCTTTGCACCGTGTCACGGCGTGATTATGGGAATAGAACGTTTTCCACAATGCGTGTATATTTTTTCGATGTACGTGTGGAAAATATTGCCAGTCACGGTCGGTGACAGGATCGTTCGGTGTGGTGTGCATTCTGTGAATTGACTTCGATGTGATGCTTCAGTGTGAAACTGGTTTCGGCGAGACAGGTTTTCTGTGAATTGGTCTGTTGGTGTAGAATGCATTCTGTGAATCGTCTTTCGATGACATGTCGTTCGGGGAATTGTCGTTTTGTGAACTTGTTTTCGGTGAACGGTCGGTATTCCGTTAGTCTCGTGAAACACACGGGGAGTGGGGATCCCAGTTCCGCAGGTTAGCTAGCAATTCAGGAATGGATCAGCTTTCAGGTGGATGGTAACTTGGTAACTCGACCAACCTGTCTCCATTCTCATTTCCATGGCCGATTGTGTGCATGTGTGCGTGTGTGCATGCATGTGTGCGTGTGCATGTGGGTGCATGTGTGTGTGTGTGGGGGGGGGGGGGGGGGTAGTGCATGTGTGTGTGTGTGTGTATGTGTGTGTGTGTGTGTGTGTGTGTGTGTGTGTGTGTGTGTGTGCGCACGCATGCGTGTGTCGCGGCATGCCTATCCCTGTGCATGCTGTAGGCGAGGCTTGCAGTCCCTGTCAATGGATAGGTCGTACTCTGACAGGCCAGTGTGAAGAGCAGTGTTCTTGCACAATACAGGGGACATGGCGATGCTGTCGCATGCGCAAAGAGTTCTCACTGATGAGCGATGCCGAAGCGCGGCGCTACATCAACACATACCTAACGTTGACCACCGTCTCGCCACACAAGGAAGCATACGATGCCATGGTGGCGAAGCATGAACGTCTCTTCAGCCACGCCATTCACCACTGGCCGCAGTTCTGGCCCTGGCACCGCTACTTCACGCTCAAGTTCGAGAACATGCTGAAGAGAATCGACTGTCGCGTGACCCTGCCATACTGGGACTTCACACGGCACTGGCGTAAGCCGTGGGACGGCCCGATGTGGAGTGACAGTCGTCTGGGCGGGTCCGGACTCAAAGCAGCCAACTTCTGCGTCACGACCGGCCCGTTTGCGATGGGAAAGTGGAACGTTACGCCCTCGGCTGGTGGTGGATGTTTGAAGCGTGAGTTTGACCAGTACCGCTACGGCATAAGTCCTCGAGTACTGACCCTGGGACAGTATGCCTACGAGAAGCCAAGTCAAGTACGCTGGTACGAGAAGATCATCAGCGTCTACATGCATAGCTGGGTGCACGTCACTCTCGGGGGCATCATGGCCACGCACAAGTCGGCCAATGAGCCTGCGTTCTGGATGCTGCACAGCTTTGCGGACAAGCTCTGGGGAAACTGGCAGCAGCGCGGTGCACACTTCCTTTACGAACCGTACGTCCGGATGAGGACTCGGCTCAGTGATCAAGAGGATGATGATACGTTCACTGTTGCGGACATGGTGGATCTTTCCGACCTGCCCTCGGCCGGGGCACCCACGGGCGGGCCTCGCACCGCAATCTGTTACGACGGCGAGATGAGTGTGGAGACGGCGTACGACCAAGCTAGCCTGCATGCACTGCCTGTACCGCGCGACTACGCACATGAGTACAGCCCGCACCGATCCCTGCCCAGACTCCTACATAGCATCCTGCGAGACACGGGCGAGCGGGCTCAGTTCGAAAAGATGCAGAAAGATCCGTTCCAGGCCGGCTTTGAAGTGTTTTGAATTGTTGCTAAGCAGCCAGCCCCACTGCTACAGCGCCTGCAAGAACACACAGTTAATCTGACAAATCTCAGATTCAGTACTTGTAAGAGAATATACAGTTATGATCTGTGTCATCTTTTTGACATAGAGAGTTTGCGCTTCACATTTTTTTTAAATTTCGAACGTGAGATCCCATGGCAAAAAATGGCGCTCTTCGCGTTGCAACGTGAGATTTCAATTGGACAGAGGGCCAACTCACGGTGAAAAATGCGAGTCAACACCGTTTTTTTCTCACGTTCGAAATTGAAAAACCGTGAAGCGCAAACTCTCATTTTTTGAAGTCAGAGTACGCACAGTATGAAATACACGATTTTTTGAGTTGAGAACGACCTTTGCAGTGACATGGATATCCATGCAACGCATGTATTAGACGGCTTATAATGATTGCAGACACCGTATATTCTCTATTATAAGCACAGGTCTCCATTACTAGCACACTGTGAGCACCTTTCGAAACATTATAAGCAGTCTCTATTATTAGCAAGGTCTTGGTGGAAATCAATGCTGCATGCATGATATCTAGCATGTATTTCTTCTTGCTCTATATGGATGTATTGGTTGAAAAAATATATAAGCACGGCCTCCAATAGAAGCACGGGGTAGAGGGGTGTCGAAAAAATATAAGCGCAGCGCTTATAATAGTAGAGAATATACGGCATACCAAATCCCCCCCCCCCCCCCATCATCTTGCCTGAAACCTTCCAGAATCACAGAACCACTGAAATGGGAAAACGGCTACAGCTATTTAGAATCATTATGCACACTTGATCGAAGCAGGCAAGCTTTGCTAGCCCAAAATCTCAGATAAGTGCCTGCCAGCAACTTTTAAAAAGTTGATCTGAGCTCAACTATTTCGCGTACGGGAAACCCATCGCGCGATGGGTTTCCCATACGCGAGATGAAGTATGAATCAGGCTTTATCGCGGCTGCATTGTTTGATGGCAGATATGTTATAAGACTAATCATAAGACTGATCTCTATTGCTAGAGCTTACCGATGCAGGAAGGAGATAGAGACAGTGGTCAGAAAACAGAACAGAGAACTGTAGCTGAAATGGAATGGCACAGATGGAGTGTAGCAATGCAGCGGCTACCGTACAACATGGCGTCCATGCTTTTGTCTGGCCAGTAGGGGCAGAATAAGGGGAAATGCAAACAAATTCTTCACAAAGGACAGTGCAAAACAGTCCTCTCAAAGCCTTGCCGCGCACATCACACAGAACGGCTCTTGAGAGGTACTTTGGACTCCAATGGCAACACGCAAAGTTCAGTTCACCCAAGCTCGGAGACGTCTGCAGCGAGCAAGACAGTTTCGGACAGATACCGGTATGCCAAGCAGCACAGTGGTAGCAAGTCAAACATGACCTCTACTCATGAATATAGCAGAACCACCTTCCTACGTAGTGCGAGACTCCCCCCCCCCCCCCCCCCCCCCCCCGGGCTGTTCCAGGACTTCATTTACGGCCACCTTGCTTGCGTGCATAGACAGCCAGACACTCACCCAGAGCCCATGAAGGCAGAGAAGCAGAAAATTATGGTTACAAAGCAAATCTTCATACATGTATGATCAAAGCGCTTCTTAAAACCCTGTTTATCATGAACCAAAAATCAATCATAGCGTCAATCGAACTAAAGGAATTTGTCTGAAATATGTGCACATAAACATATCACTGTTATACGGTATGAAGACCAAATAGAGAGATAGCGCAGCACAGGTGCAATATCAGCACACAACGGTGTAGATATGGCAAACTGGACATTGCAAGACTATTCTCACTGCCAGAGAGGCGGAGAAGACGAAGACCAGTGGAGAAAGGAAAAGTCTTCAGCTATCTTCTGCCTCAATGAAAGCAGAATCTCATCCATAGCAGAGGATCATCATTGGGTGAACAGCACCGTCGACGACATGGGAAAACATTCACACCAAATACAACTACACACGTCTCGCCTTACTCCTCTTCTTCAGCGGTGATCTTGGCGAGGAGCTCCTGAGCCGCGACGTACTCTGCGGAGACATCCAGCTCTTTACAATCAGCCTGAGTAGGACATGAGAGAGAGAGAGAGAGAGAGAGAGAGAGAGAGAGAGAGAGAGAGAGAGAGAGAGAGAGAGAGAGAGAGACAAACCAATTCGCTAAACAAGCCTGTCATGAACAACAGTCCTCGTCACCAGCAACAAAACACAACAACAAAACAAACAGACTTTTCCCGTTCGCATCTTTCCCTCAAATCAATGAAAAAACAAACAAAAAAAACGAAAAACCCCCAATCACCCCTAATCCAGCACTAGATAGACTACACAGGCAGTTGGAACATGCAGCCATTGTCGGTTTCGCTCCCAGGCCGTCTGACTAGGGGCAGGATCAATTTATGCATGCAAGGCGTGCGGCATCACACACATGCACATATCCACAACAGCATTACATCACCAAAGTACTATGGAGTCACTCACCAGGAGTACTCGCAGTTCATCGATGGATCTCTCTTTCCGTCGTTTGCAGTCTGGAAGTACCGCCTCCGTCTCAGCTATCGCACTTTTCTGCACCAGGAAAAGCAATACAACAAAAATGACTGAATCGGAAATTGATTATTTCTCATCCAAAGCCTATCTCATGAGCCAGGCGTAATGTTGTCCACGCGTCTAGCAAGACTACTACCGGTGTGTGTGTGATATTTTGCCGAGAGGAAGCAGATTTGTTAGCTCCTGGTTCTCTCTTTGTTGGCCTCCTCCACGGGGCGGCCCTGGCCTTCTGGTCAGGGTCGTCCCTGGGTATTGACTAGCAGTAGGCTTTTCATGCCTTGCAGCCGGTTTCGCACGCGCGGAAGGACAATCAGTGAGCTGCAGTAGTAGTGATAATGCATGGTGACACTCAGTGAGGCCTTGATAGAAGTTACTGCTAATTCCTTGACCTTTGGAATGACTGTTGCCGGTTCGAATCCCACAATTGCATGTGTTACCTTTTTGTGTCTTTTCCCATTTATGCTAATGATGTAATCATTACTCATTACTCTTTGTAGTAGATAGAGTAGTCACATGAGCTTCTCTGATTGGCTGTTGCTAGGCGCCAGTGCCTGGCCCTGGTATAAAGGCAGTGGTTTCTCCTCATTTCATCCTCTTTCTCTTCGGGTCCTGATGGCGTTGTGAGCTGCTGCTGGCTACTGTTCAAGTACTGTAACTATGACCTTCTCTCCCCTCTTCTTCTATTCCTCCATTGTTGCATGAAACTATATAACATCAAGAAAGAGTGTCTTGTTGTAGATGTGTGAGTGCTTTGTGGGCGCTAGAGTTTGAGCTGGTTACGATTCAGTAACATTTATGGTACCGAAACCCTTGTGAATTTAGATACGGCGTTGAGGTTTGAGACATTAGAGAGGTTTTGCATTCCGAATTTCGGAATTATTTTCGGAATGTGGCGGCAGCAGTCGAAAAAGTAGTCGAACTTTCGGAAGTGTGGTGGCGAAAGTGCATGGTTTTCTGAAAATGGATTTTCGGCTCTTTCATGTTTGGGAGTGCATATTTGAATACAAAAAAAAGTGTATTTTTCATGTTTGTATTTTTGCTTTCTGCTGCCCTCGATTATTTGAAAAATTTTCCACGTACGTATGTAGTTTTGATTTTTGCTGGTTTTTGCTGCTCTCGCTGATCTCGCCATGTTGACTAATCTTCTCACACTCCATCACACTCTATCTTCCTTTGCCATGGAGCCTACTGAGTACTGACAGTACAAGACAGTAGTTCGCCAACCTCGTCTTCAGCTGTTGGATCACTTGGTCCACCATCAGTCTGTCCTCGTCTTCGAACCGCACCCAAATTCAGTTTGACCTGCGCACATGGATTTGATCCTCCTCAACCCCTTCGACGCTCTCCATTTTGTTTTGCATGGCAACCCTTGGAAACGAAGTCGAATCAGATTTTCGGAATGCAAAACACTGAAAATACCGTTTTTCGGAACGCGCTTTTTTCGGAAAAGCACAGTCGAAAATCATTCCGAAATTCGGAATGCAAAACCTCTCTAATGCTAAAGTCCTTTCGTGGGACAGCAGGCGAAGAGTTCGATGTATTTTGGGCAAGGTATTTGGCTGTTGCGAGTGCAAATGGTTGGGACGACACTAAGGCAGCAGCAAATTTGCCATCCCTGCTTGATGGTGCAGCATTTGTCCTCTATTCCCGATTAAGCACGGATGACAAGAAAGATTTGTCTAAAAATAAAGAAGTTGTTATTGGATGCCTATTCGGTGTCGAGCACAAGAGCATATCAATTGTTTTCGACACGCCAGTTACGTGGGGATGAGGCAGTGGAGAGTTATGCAGCAGATCTACAAAGATTGGGAGAATTGGCTGGCCACAAGATAACTTCTGATTCTGATCCTATTCACTCATTGCGTAATCCTATATTTGGGAGAGATGATGTAATCGCGTGCCGTGGCAAAGTGCCGAGTTGTGGGCAAAAGTCTTTGCCCGCAACCTCTTCCTTGCCAAAGAGTTTGTAAAAATTTATTTTGATTGTTTGGTGCAGTGCTTTTTTCTTGTTCGTGTCTTTAGTTCAGTTTTGTACATTGTACATGTAGTACCGTATGTGATGGCGGCGACTGGGTTTGATCCCGATGGCAGCAGCGATTCTTCTCTGTCAGGAGACGATGGTGACAAGCCTAGAGTCACTGGTAGCTACTGTTGTGTTCCGTTGTGCAAATCTGAGTATGGAAAACCAAATTCACCAAAGTTCCATGACTTTCCAACCGATCGTGCTTTGAAGTCTGCTTGGCTACATGCCATTCGTCGTGATGAAGGGAAGCACTTCAAGGTGAAGCCGAAAACAACAAAAGTTTGCGGACTACACTTCCAAGAAAGTGACTATCGTGTTGTGAGTGATCGTGCTTTGAAACGAAGACAAAAGGAGGGAAAGGGTGGCAAGCCTCGACCGCGCTTGGTACCTGGAACAGTACCTACCGTCTTCTCGTTCCATAAATCAGCGACACAGGGCCCTTCGCGAAAACCACCAGCTAAGCGGGTGTTCTTGAAGCCGGTTACGTCAGACTCCAGTTCGAGTGACGAAGATGCTCAGGCAATGGTTGTGGATGACGGTGAGGGCAGCCACCAGGACGACTCAGTGGATGAGTTGGAGAGACTCAGGCAACAAGTAGCAGAATTGAACTTGAAAAATGAGAAGCTTGACTTAGAACTGCAGTCCGCTAAGTCGTCTCGGGATGTGAGTGTGGGTCTTTGCTCCAAACTGTGGAAAGAGCAAAAGACATTGGAAGAGGAGCTCAGGCAGACAAAGGAAAGCCTGGTCCTGCACAAATTTGACATCCGTAGGTTCTCTGAGAAGGCCCACATGGTGAAGCTCTACACCGGCTTCACGTCATTTGACATGTTTATGGCATGTTTTCGCTATCTGGAGTCAGACGCTGCTGAGATGCGAGCTTGGAAAGGATCGAGGACGAAGCTTGATGGTGAGCGACTCGGGAGAAAGAATGGTCCATTGCCTAAACTCAGCCTGGAGATGCAATTCTTCTTTGTATGTGTCAGGTTACGGCAAGGACTCGTGTTGGACGATCTGGCAGATCGATTCAAGGTGGACAGTTCAACCCTGTCAAGGTACTTCACGTCATGGGTGAATTTGATGTATGTGACCTTTAAAGAATTGCTGGTGTTCCCGTCTCGTCGGCGTATCGACAAAGACATGCCCAAATCTTTCAAGATATACTACCCCACTACTAGAGTCATTATTGACTGCACTGAGTTTTTCATCGAGCGGCCGTCCCGTCTGTCCACCAACAATGCAGCATTCTCCGCTTACAAAAATCACACCACGTGCAAGTCCCTCATTGGAATCACTCCTAACGGAACTATCAGCTTTGTCTCCACGTTGTATGAGGGGTCAATCTCGGACAGGGATATAGTCATTGACTCGGGCTTCATCTCACTGATGGACCATGGTGACTCAGTCATGGCGGACAAGGGCTTCAACATCCAAGACCTCCTTGCTCCATACGGTGTCCGGCTGAATATTCCACCATTTAACACCAAGGCACATCAAATGCTCCCCCAGGATGTTGTCGAAACGAAGTCCATCGCTGCTGTAAGAATTCATGTGGAAAGAGCCATCAACCGCATCAAGCAATATCGTCTTCTTGATGGTGTCATTGACAACAATTTATTTGATATTCTTGAGCAAGCTGTCTTCTCAGCGTGTGTTTTATGCAATTACCAACCCACATTGGTTGCTACCTGATATGGTCTCGATGTCAATACAATTTTCACACCTTCATTCATAAATCGCCCTGTCCTGTTGAACAATGTACATAATTATGTAAATAAGCGAACATTTTTATATTATCACAGACCTAAACGGTGGTGTTCCCAGAAACTGTATTATTTAGGTGCAGCTGTGCGCATTATTCTTTCTATTTGCTGCGTTGAGAGCGTTGTCATTACTCTGTTCTTTCTGGTTTTGGCACCACCCCACACCCTATTATTTGATCATTATTGTATTTCGTCACCTACGGTGTTCTAAGCTGCCATTCCTTTTACTAGTGCTTCCTATTGGCACATCCATTAAACCAGTCCCTTACCCAGCCAGTACTCAGACGCCTACAAATCGTGTTCAGTACTCCACGAGTACAGTGTATTAATTTTGATGATTGAATAGAAAAACAATCACTTTGAAAGAAGATTGTGAGTACTCCACGAGAACTAACAGTGTATTTTATGATTGAATGGAAAACAAGAACTTTGAAAGAAGATTGTGAGTTCTCGAATAGTGCTATGGTGAAGTCTCTCTCTCTCTCCCTCCCTCTCTCTCTCTCTCTCTCTCTCTCTCTCTCTCTCTCTCTCTCTCTCTCTCTCTCTCTCTCTCTCTCTCTCTCTCTCTCTCTCTCTCTCTCTCTCTCTCTGCTATTGGCCTGGTTGTGATGAAGCCGAGACCCAAGGTCGGCAGAGCATCCCAGACCACGCCACCACTCCCCTTATTCATGGCTCACACATGACGGGTTTACGTGGCTCTAGTAAAAAAAATAGTAACTAGGAAAAGAAAGTTCGAAAGAAGTCCAGTGTTGACATTAAGAACAACATCACATTAGAGCAGCATGAATGGCCGGAAGGTAATGCGAGAAATAAAATTTCTCCAGTCGGGGCAGAAACTCCTTCACAAGGGAATGATCAGCAGCGACAGTTTCCACAAACAGACCATCTGGAAACCATATGACAAAGTCGGCAGCCTCCACATCGCAAACATACATCTGCGTTTGAACTTGGTAGTAGTAGGTGTGCGTTCGCTTGAGGACCAAATTGCCATCAACATCCGTCAAGCATGAAGTCCGCCGTCCAGCAAACTCACGAAGCGACATACCATTCCGCATGGTGAAAGGACACTTGATCTCCACCACACGCTGCAGTTTGCCATTGACCATGACTAGACCATCAGGCGAAGCACTAAGCCATGGTTTGGTTGGATGGATGAAAAGGCCACAGGATTCGACGAGAACAGGAACATCCGAAGTCTGTGCACGTGTGATGTAGGCTTTGACAGCATCACATTC